AATATACTTAAACTCCTTCTTATGATCCTTAAATCTACTAGCCATAGATCTCTCATGTTCTTTTGCTTCCTGTGAAGGCATAAGCAATACCATTCCTCTGGGGTCAGACGCCTACAGCTGGCTGATTAATTAGCCCAACCCATGCACCTCGGGAAAGACCTGCAATTTTAACTAGCTGAACCTCATAAAAGGAGAAGCAGGAAATGGAAGGAGACTGCAACACTTAGCCAGAGGCTGGAGCAATTGCTGGGAGGAGTGGTGCCAAGAAACCAATGGACAGAAGGGAGACTGGGGAAAGTCCTGTTAACAAAACGTCTCTGAGGTAAGAACCAGGAATTGTTGGGTTGATGAACTTGTGGGATGAGGGACAGACTTGGAGAAAGGGACTCTCTCTTCAAAAAGTCTGTACAGGTTGAATCTCTGAAGCTTTGATCCTATTTCCACTAAGAAGTCTTTAAAAAAAACCCCACAGTAATTAATCTGCCTGAAAACTACCTTCCCTGGATTCTGTGAGAAGGCCCAGGCAGCATTTTCCCAGGGAGGGAATGGGCTCAGCTAGCATAAGCATGAGTCCAGCCATAAGAGAGGGCTGTAAGGTAGGGCCCAAACCAGTATACTTCCTTTATCAATTTTTTTTTTTTTTTTTTTTTTTTTTAGTGGCCTTCACCTCCCTTCTAAGCCAGGCTGGTCTTTTAACCAGCATGGACTTCTTTCTACGTTGTAGATTTTTGTATATATAATGAAGTATTTTTAAACAATTCCTAACTCTCTAAGATTTTTGTTTAAATTATTTTTCCCAGTAGTTGTTTTCAGCTTTGTGATACTTTTTCTTTAAAAAAAGCACCAAGTTTTTATATTGTAAATATAAAAAACTGGCTACAATTTTACAAGTGTGTATATATGATACTGGCTCTTCCTTTAATGACAGGTTTCAGAGTAACAGCCGTGTTAGTCTGTATTCGCAAAAAGAAAAGGAGTACTTGTGGCACCTTAGAGACTAACCAATTTATTTGAGCATGAGCTTTCTTGAGCTACAGCTCACTTCATCGGATGCATACCGTGGAAACTGCAGCAGACATTATATACACACAGAGATCATGAAACAATACCTCCTCCCACCCCACTGTCCTGCTGGTAATAGCTTATCTAAAGTGATCATCAAGTTGGGCCATTTCCAGCACAAATCCAGGTTTTCTCACCCTCCACCCCCCCACACACAAACTCACTCTCCTGCTGGTAATAGCCCATCCAAAGGGACAACTCTCTACACAATGTGCATGATAATCAAGGTGGGCCATTTCCTGCACGAATCCAGGTTTTCTCACCCCCTCACCCCCCTCCAAAAAATACACACACACAAACTCACTATCCTGCTGGTAATAGCTCATCCAAAGTGACCACTCTCCCTACAATGTGCATGATAATCAAGGCGGGCCATGTCCAGCACAAATCCAGGCTCTCTCACCCTCCCCCCCTTTTTTTTTTTACCGGACACACACACACACACACTCACTCTCCTTCTGGCAATAGCTTATCCAAACTGACCACTCTCCAAGTTTAAATCCAAGTTTAACCAGAACGTCTGGGGGGAGGAGGGGGTAGGAAAAAACAAGGGGAAATAGGCTAAGTCATTATGCAAGGTAGCCTATTTCCCCTTGTTTTTTCCTACCCCCTCCTCCCCCCAGACGTTCTGGTTAAACTTGGATTTAAACTTGGAGAGTGGTCAGTTTGGATAAGCTATTGCCAGCAGGAGAGTGAGTTTGTGTGTGTGTGTGTGTGTGTGTGTCCCCGGGGAAAAAAAAAAGGGGGGGGGTGAGAGCCTGGATTTGTGCTGGACATGGCCCACCTTGATTATCATGCACATTGTAGGGAGAGTGGTCACTTTGGATGAGCTATTACCAGCAGGATAGTGAGTCTGTGTGTGGGGGGGGGTGGAGGGTGAGAAAACCTGGATTTGTGCTGGAAATGGCCCAACTTGATGATCATTTTAGATAAGCTATTACCAGCAGGACAGTGGGGTGGGAGGAGGTATTGTTTCATGATCTCTGTGTGTATATAAAGTCTGCTGCAGTTTCCACGGTATGCATCCGATGAAGTGAGCTGTAGCTCACGAAAGCTCATGCTCAAATAAATTGGTTAGTCTCTAAGGTGCCACAAGTACTCCTTTTCTTTTTGGCTCTTCCTTGTTTTCTGCTAAAATAAATTTAAGCATTTTCCTACTGTCACTTGAAGTTACTGTTATAGGGATGTTATGTAAATGTGAATGGAAGGGAGTTCATACGAGACACGCGTTGAAGATGTGGCTCACATTATGAGAAAAGTTGAGAACGCTGAACTAGAGTATCTGTTTATACAGTAGAACCTCAGAGTTATGAACACCAGTGTTACAAACTGACCAGTCAACCGCACACCATATTTAGAACCGGAAGAACACAATCAGGCAGCAGCAGAGACAAAAAAAAACCCAAAGTAAGGAAACTGTTTCTGTGCTTGTTTCATTTAAATTAAGATAGTTAAAAACAGCATTTTTCTTCTCTGTAATAAAGTTTCAAAGCTGTATTAAGTCAATGATCAGTTGAAACTTTTGAAACAACAGCACCAAAACTTTTTGTTCAGAGTTACAAACTGTGACGAAGCAGGACTGTTCTTAATGTTTCCTCTGAATATTGTGGGGGTGCTTCAGTTTCCCCTAGGCAGTTCTTAAGTACCTAGATGGTGGGATAAGGGTGTATGATCATTGCAGAGCCCTAGAGGGCAGGTGTGTGCAGGGATCTGGACACAGAGAATGGCCGACACCCTTTTCCTGGCAACTGATGGCCTGGCCCTTCCCCCCTGCAAGGTGAGAGCTAAAGGGTTGGAGAACAAAGGAATCAGGTGACCTCCTGGCCCGGGAAAGGGCCAAAGCCCAGAGGAGGAGGGGCTGGAGAGAGTTTCAGTTTGGGGCTGGCTAGGGACATGGAGTGAAGGGCAGACGTGGTTGTCTGGCTCACTGCCCCCCAAATGGACCCAGCTGAGGGGTCCTGTTCTCTGCACCTACAAGCTCTGTTTTAGACCATGTTCCTGTCGTCTAATAAACCTTCTGTTTTACTGGCTGGCTGAGAGTCACATCTGACTGTGGAGTTGGGGGGCAGGACCCTCTGGCTTCCTAGGACCCCGCCAGGGCAGACTCGCTGTGGGAAGTGCACGGAGGGGCAGAGGATGCTGAATGCTCCGAGGTCAGACCCAGGAAGGTGGAAGCTGTGTGTCCTACAGTCTGCTCACAGAAAGGAGACTTCCCCAGAGTCCTGACTGGTTATGTAGGGAGCAGTTCCAGAGCATCGCCCAGGGACTTCGTGACACAAACGTTTCAGAGTTATGAACAACCTCCATTCCCGAGGTGTTTGCAACTCTGAGGTTCTATTGTATAATCTCATCCAGGGCATACCATAAGTGCGAGGGAAGGCATCTGGATCAGTGTCCAACAGGCAGAGACACCAGGTCTTTTAGAGAAATTTTTGTATCCTCATACTATAAAGATCTGGAAGCAAATTGAGGCACAGAAATTTCAAAGAATCTTGTGATAACTTCTGTCTAATTCTGTTCTACTCTATTCAGGTATTCATGCCACATACATCATCGTACATCTAAGAATATCCAACAAGGAGATACACAAGCAGATGAAAAATTTCAAGGATGTGTACACAAAAACAAGCAACACAATTCACAAAACATGGATTGGATTTTGGAACCCCCTGTACTAGTCTCCAAAACACTTTGGAAGACTGCCAAGAAAGGCACTGTGGTAAGTGAAAAGTAGTGCTGAGACACCTGCTCCGCATGAGGCAGTATTATGGATAAAGTTTAAGAATAGATTGAGTCCTCTATTTTACACTCTACTAATAAAATGTAGCCTCTGAATTTCATAGACCAATTCTTTATAGGACAAGTAAATATTCCCAAATACTTTGTTGGAAAAATGTTGAGTAACTTTTGCAGAGGAAATACTTCACAGAAGAAAAATTAGTCTTTTTTTAAAAATTTGACTGACAACCAACCTCCTCAGGTAACACATTATAGACCCAGAATCTGCATACTGTGGACACACAGACTGCTTACTGAGGGGTAACAGATTCTCCAGCTAATGGTTTCAATTCTGGGTATCACTGTGTACCAGAAAGACGACAAACTAAATCCGGAGGAAAGATTAAAAGAGCAAGGTAGGTAGAAGCTCGGCAAAGTAGCAATTGAGGGGAGACAGAATAGTCTACAAACATGTAAACACTAATGAAGGGGAGGAGTTATCTAGCGTAGTACATGGGTTATAACTTGGACTAACTGAATGAACTAAAAAGTGAAAATTAAGGATGAATATGAGGAAAAAGTCTTCCTGACAGTAAGGTTGTCATTATCATTTAAACATTTGTATGGCAATAGTGCCTACAGATATCAACCAGCTTGGGCCCCATGGTGTGCCTCTAGGCCTCAATGTTAAATGATGATGACGACCTTACTGTCAGGAAGACTTTTTCCTGATATTCAGCCTTAATTTTCCCTTCTTATTTCATATACATATGCAAAGTGACAGTCTTTGGGGCAAGACGAACAGGTAGATAAGACAAACAAGGGGTTCAGACTGAGGTCTGGGGAGACGGGGTATGAAGTTGTGCAATGGTTTCCCAAAGGAAGAGGCATTGCTTGGAACTTCTAAAATTAGATTGGATCAAAGACTACGATGTGCTGAACTGGCCCTCAGGATACGGGCTGGGCAAGTTGACAAGGTTTCCCCACCACTAATTTTTATGAGTCTATGTTTGAAAATCAAGCTTATTATGGAAGTTATCTTAAAGTTAACAATGGAGTCACAACAATGATATATAAGAAGCGGCTGTATGTTTTTACATTTCAAATATCAGACCTAGATCTCATGGGTTTTAAGGAAAATTCTAAAGACAGGCCCTAATGAAACATTAGGAATTTTACCGCCAACATTCCCAAAGGTGAGAGGGGGAAAGAGAACTTACCAGTCTGTCTCTGTCATCCTGCAAGGAGGACAATGCCTTCTTCAGGCTCTGCACTTCTGCAGGGCTGGTGGAAGAGTTCACTGCTGTCTGCTGCTTCACTTCCTCCACCTTATGTGCTTTGTCCAATTCACTCAACAGACGGTCTCTCTCATCCTGCAGGCTTGCCATGGCCCTAGAGAAGGACTTTACCTGGCTGGAGGACTCCTCCAGTTCCAAAGACAAGCGGAGAAGCTCTTCCTCTTTGACTCTGAGCTGTCGGTTAAGTTCCTCAAGCTGAAATAACAGATCTTTTTTATCATCAGCATTCTTCAGGGCTGTCAGTTCAGACATCAGAGTCTCTCTCTCTCTGGCAGTGGAGTGCAGCTCTTCCTGTAATTGAGCCATCTCCTTCTGGAGGCTCTGTACTAGACACTGCTGCTTCTCTAAGTCTGCAGAGTACTTCTTTCCCAGCACCTGAAGCTCTTCATTAGTTTGGTCCCAGCTATTCTGGAGAGAGCTCATGGACTTCCCAAAAGACTGAATTTGGGCTCTCAGATCTTTGTTGTCCTCTGTGACTGTAAGAAATTTCTGTTCCATTTCCATCAGGTCCCCTGCCAGCTCTGCTACCCTCTCTTCTGCTGTTTCAGTTTCATTCCGCATTACCCCTGCATCATGATGTAGATGCTTCAGTTCATTCTCAAGTTTGTCCTCAGCCTCTCCCACCTTCTTGGCTGCACTCCTTTGGACATGGACCAGTTCCTCCTCTAATTCTGCTACCCTGTTCTGTGAGAGGGCAAGCTTACCGCTCAGATCTTGCACCTCCTTCTCCCGATCTTTTAATTGGGTCTCCAGCTCCACAATGAGTCTCCCTTCATGTAAAGCTGTCATCTCGCTCTGAATCTGAGATAGAGAGAATGTCATGTTCTCAATCTCTTTGGACATGCTTTGTTTGTCCTCTTTCAGGGCTTCCACACACTGCCTGAGATCTTCCACAGCATGTTCAGACTCCTTCAGATGCCCTTCTATGTTGACCTTTTCACTTTCCAGCACTTGGATTCGCTGAAGCTGTGTTTTGAGGAGTTGCTTTTGCTGGGAATCCTTTATTGAAATCACCTGGTTCAGGTCCTCCCTATACCGCACAAGTTCTGCATCCAGTTTGGCATTTTCAGAGTTGAGGTCATCCATCCGGCTATGGAAGCTTCGAATCTCCTCTTTGAGCTTGTTGTTCTCAGCAGCAGCCTCTTGAATCAACTGGTCTTTCTCCAGGATTATAACAAGATGACGCTCTTCCAGCTGTTTATAGTCTCTCAGCACACGGTCTCTGTCATCCTGCAGAGAAGACATGCATTTGGTGAAGGAAGCCAGCTGTGCCTTCTGCTGCTTATTTTCCTCTCTGGTTATCTTCATTGTTTCCATAAGATGATTAAGCTTGTCCAGTGCTTTCTCTCTCTCGTTTTCCAGGGTCACTTTCTCTTCTTCCTTCTTGCCCAGCCTGTCCTCCAGCTTTTTAACCTCTTCACCGTGTTGCTGCTGTAACTCAGATACAACAGTCATGACTGCCTCTTCCTTAGCAGACAGTAGACTGATAATCTTCTGATCTTTGGCACCAATTTCTTTGTGCAGCTTGTTTGTCAGGTCCTTGGAGGCCTGTAGGTCAGCCTCAAGCTGCTCACAGTTGAATTTACAGTTCTGGATACTGGCCTCTTGTTGCTTGACCATGCTTTCCATTTCTTCTCTTGCTATCTCAGACTTAGTGAAGGAGTTATGCAAATGAGCAAGCTGGTCTCTGAGGCACTTGATTTCTGCATCTAGCTTCTGCAGTTCATTTTGAGAGTCTGTATATAATCTCTGATACTCTTCTAACTGAGACACGAGCCCTTTGTTTTCCTCCTGCAACATGTCAGACATCTTTTGATGCTGCTGAATCACTCTCTGAGACTCAGACTCCCAATCCTGTTTGTTGTGTTCCAGCCTGAAAAAACAGACAGTAAACTGTTACAAACAAATCTACAATGTATCCCAATATCCAAATTTGTATCCCTTATAGTGGACTGCAAGATCTACCAGAGTTAAGGTTTAGAGTTTGACTAACTGCTCTAATATCCACAGTTACTTGGACTTCCTTGAAATCTGGTGCGCCTCAGGGGAGCACATGAGAGCACCTCTCTTCCCCACCACCCCCAAATGGGGCAGGTAATAGGGGAGGGGATAGGAATTGGGGAGAGACACTGGGGAGGGGACATGGGGATGAGTGGCAAGGAGGCAGAGGAAGAATAGAGACGGGGTGCCTGTCAGGCCCACTTTCTCCTCTGTTGTGTGTGCTTGCAGCAAGATCAGTGGTGCTGAAACAGTTTGTATAGTAGGGGTTCTGAGAGCCATTGAACCAAATTGTAAACTCTGGATATGATGGAAACCACTTCAAGCCGGGGGGGGGTGGCAGCACCCCTAGTTCCAGCACCTATGACCAGGATCTTGGGGGAAGGGGGGGTTAGAGCAAATACTACAGGGAAAGTTTTGTTTGTTTCTAAACAATTTTCTATTGGAATTTTTAACATCATGGTACATTTCTATTGTCCTTTGACTCTGCAATCCCGGCACCAAAAAAACAAATCTAAAATTTGGATCAAATTGGAATTGTTGAATTCTTAAAGGCATCATTTACTTGCTATCTCAGTAACTTAAAAATATAATCACTCTATGTAGCAGAACTTATTTTAAGTTTCATGTTAGTAGAGAGAGACTACAGATGCTTCCCTGCTGACTACTGTCTGTTAAGGTGAATATAAATTACAGTCTGGCTTACAAAAAAGAATATCTGCTGATATCAGAGATTGGAGGAAAGACCATAAACACCAAAGTAACCACCACTCACTTTCATCTTCTCTTTACCTGGATACATGAATCTGTAGCTCCTCTATATGCATGGACATCTGCCTCATCTGATCCTTTAGAACAGTGCAGGTCTCCTCTCTAGCATGGATCTCCTCTTCCTTCTTTTGAATAGCCTCAGTGAACTTCTTCTCCCATTTTTTGGACTCATCTATCACTCGATCCCTATCATCCTGGAGGGAAGTCATGCTCCTGGTGAAGGCTGCAAGCTGGGCCAGGGTTTTGTTAAGGCTGCCTTGGAGCTGCTTGGCTTCTTGGTCCTTTCTGTACAAGGAATCTTGAATGTCTCTGACAGTCCCTTCCATATAATCTCTCTCTCTCTGCAAAGATGCCAGCTTTTCCTCCATGTTATTTATCTCCTTTGAGTGCTTGTCTTTTTCTTGTTCCAGTCTTCTCTCAAAATCTTCATCCTTTCTCTTCATTTGAATTTTAACATGCTCTTTGTTTGCCTGCAGCTCCTCTTTCACTTTGAGACTCTCTGCTAGAACCCTTGCTGTCTCGCTCTGAGTATCATCCAGTAATATTCTGCAGGAAGCCAGCTCTGCTTGTGCTTTCTTGGTGTCTTCACATGCTTTGGCTAAGTTCTCTTTGGCTGTTGTAAGTTCCTTTTGAGACTCACTTTGAACAAACTGCAGAGCTTTAACAGTTCTCTCTAGACTACTGATCTTCTCCTGGCTTTTAATACAGTCCTTCTGCAACTGCTTCACCTCCTGCTGTTTCTGTTTCAGCAGCTCCTGAAGCTCTTTTGCATGAGTTCTGCTGCCATCTCCCTTCCGAGCACATTTTAGTTTTTCTGCATATTCCTTCTGTGTGTCTGCCTCTGCCTCAGTTTTCTCTCTCACTAGCTGCCACTTCTCCTTCTCCAGCTCACTTACCATTCTTTGCAAGCTCTGGAGCTCAGATTTCAGTTGCTCATTTTTGGTTTGGAGGTCAGCCATGTCTTGTTGATAGTTTCCAATACTTCCATTAAGTTCTGCTAGCTGATTCATGAGCCTTTCCTCCAAGTCATCCTTCTCTGCCTCCAGCGTTTCCTTCAACTTTGTCATTCTGACAAGTTGCTCTTCGATTTGTCTGTTAGTTAGTTCCCTCTTGGCTACTGTTTCCTGAAGGGTGTTCAGTTCATGGACTTTTGCTGCCACTTGGCTCTCTAAGGCCTTTTTCTCCTCTCCTAAGGTTTCAGCACTCCTGCAGATGCTGCCTACTTGTTCTTCTGCAGCCATTCTATTCTCCTCCAGTTCTGTGATTCGCTCTGTGAGCTGAGCTATTTGCTGTAAGTAAGTATTAATTTCATCATGTGAGCTGCTATCTTCATTTAATTTCTCTTCTGCATCAGTTACAATGCCTGCTCTAAGAGGCTCTGGAGACTTTGCGCAGGGCCCTAAATCCACTTGATTGTCAGCCACTTCTAGAGGTAATGCTGCTGTGAGAATGGCTTGATTTGCTCCTTCCACTATAGTTTTTTGGACACCATGCTTCACTGATGCCTCTAGGTTTTCCTTCAGCTTGGATTCTGTGCACTGTAATTGGTGCTTTAAGACTTGAACTTCTTGACTAAGAGAACCCTTTTCAGCCATTAATGCTTCAAGTTGAATGGAAAGAGATTGGCAGTCCCTCCTAGAGCTCTCTAGTGCCTCTCTAAGACTAGTGCTTGTCAAGAGAGCCATATTTCCATCCCTGTTTAGGTCACTCTCTGTAGGGTGCAACTCTGCTCTCAGGCGTTCGTTCTCTTCCTCCAGTTCCAGGATCTTTTGTTGCTTGGATTTTGCAAACTTCCTCATTTTTTCTTTCATTCCCTCCATCTCCTGCTCAGCCTCCTGCAGCTGCTTATCTACTTCTCTTTTCTTAGCCTCAGCACCTTTCAACTTGCTGAAAATGTCTTGCTTTTCCTGCCTGATAGTTTCCAGAACACGATGAATTCGCTCAGCCTCATTACTTACATTCTCATAGGACTGCAAGAGGGTTTCATATTCTTTCTGCAGCTCCTTATATTTCTCTTGCCACTCAGAACTCTCAGCAGCCTGCGAACATTTCAAGGATTCCATCTCCTTCTCTAGCTTCTCCTTCTCTTGAGTGATCCCCTCTAGAGCAAGCTTCAGGCTTTCACAAGAGCTATCAAGGTTCTGATTTTCCATTAAAGCTTTGTCAACTTCTGCAATGAGTTTCTCTCTCTCTTCAGTGACACCTACTAATTTTTCTAATAAGGCATCTTTTTGCCTATCCCAATCACAAACCTGGCTCTCCATATCTGCCAACCTCAGAGAGAGATTTTCTATAGTCATTTTGGCAGTAGCCAGTTCCTCTTTTAGAGTCTTACTCTCTTTAAGCGCCTCTTTTCTAGAGATGAGTGCAGCCTGCAGCTTTCTCTGCATTTGGCTCTTATATTTGGCTTCTTCAGCCCCCTCATCTGGTCTCTGCTGGACTTCAAGAAGCTCAGCTTTCAGTCGCTTGCTTTGTTCCTCATGCATACTAGTTTGTTTTTCCAGTTGACTGTGCAGAGTCTTGATCAAGTCTTCTTTTTCCAGGAAATCTTTCTGTACACGAGTAAGAGCTTTGCTTTTCTCTCTTAGCTGCAAGTTTAAGAGTTCAATTTCTTCATCCTTTTTGCTCATGAGATTTTTTAGCTCCCCTACTTCTTGTTTAAGTGCCTTCAGATTGTCCTGTCTGGAAATCTCTGCTTTACTTTTTTCCAGTTCTGCCTGAAGACTTGCTGCATGGGCTTCCACCTGGTGACAAGTGCTCTTCAGATCCTCCATCTCTGAGAGCAATTGTGCTATGTGCTCTTGTAGCTGAATGACTGCTTCTGATTTGCAAGCAAGATCACTTTCCAACTGACTGACTTTGAATTCTAGTTCATCTTTCTTGGTCTGCAGATTCTTGAGCTCTGCCTTAAACTCTTCTACAGAAACATCCGTCTCCTGTAAGAGGTTATTTGTCTTAGCATTTTCTACTTCCAAGCATGAAGACTCAATCCAACCTTGGCTCCAGCCAGAATGCTGTACGTTTCCTACAAGCTGTTGTGTTACATCAAGTACAGACTCAGCTGACCTTTGGAAATGGATGCCTGGCAGAGAACGGCTCTCTGTACACTCACTCTGTGCTTGGAGTTGCTTGAGCTGATCTTGGATGCTTTCCTTCTCTTTGCTTTGCTTACCAAACTCTTCTTGTAGGAGATTGTAATCATCCTTCTGCTGTTTCAGCTGTTCTCTGTGGTGTCGATCTTTTTCTTGGGCCTTCTTTATAGTGTCCTTACGGGAAGTCAGTGCTTCCTGAAGCTTCTTTTGAAGTTGCTCTTTTTCTTGTTCAAGCGCTGAGATTCTCTCTTTCAGGGCAGACTTATGGTGTTCTTCAAACCCTGCAGCAGCTGGACTGTCCACCTCATCCTCTTTAGAAGCAGCTGGGTCAGAACCTTCCAAGTGCTTATTGGCTGTGATAAGTTTCTGGATGGCTGACTGGCTTTCCATAATTTCAGCCTTCTTTGAATCAATTAGGTTGGTCTTATCCTGCAAACTTTTCTTCATCTCCTCAATCAGAGCCTGCAACTGTGCTTCAGCTGCTTCTTTCTCCAACAAGTCCTTCTGGATGCTCTGCAGCTCAGCTTCCCTTTCAGAAAGCAACTGCATGAGAGACATCTCCCTGGCTTGGCTTTCAGGAGTCACGTCTCCCTCTGCATTTAGGCCACTTGCTGTAGTTTCTTCCACTTCAGCTTTCTGAGCTTCTGCCCCAAATGTCCCTCTCACTTGCACCAGTTCATTCTCTAGCTTGTTGACCTTCTTCAGAAGTTCCTTCCTGTTGATGAGAGCTGCCTGCAGCTTCCGCTTCACTTGCTCATTTTCTTTTTTGAGACGCTCCAGTTCACTTCCTAGCACCTCTCTCTCCTTACACACTGCTGCCACCATCTCACTCTGCTGCTCAGACCCCTTGCATTTCAGACACAAGCCTTCTACTTCTCCTGTTTGTCCCATGTGCTGGTCTCTTATCTCCTCAGTTTTCAGCAATAGGCTCATCTGCTCTTTAAGGCTCTTTAGCTCACTCCCCAGAGCAAATTTCTCTTCATTCAGCTGGACTATTTTCTCAGACATTGTGATGCTGATTTCCGTCACCTGCTGATCCCTCTCCAGTAAAGTTTGCTGGAGGTTCTCATTATCCCCAGTCTGTTCAGCAAGAACCTGTTCTAGCCTTGCTGTGTCAAGCTCCTTTGAGACAATGCCTTGGGTAAGCTCCTCTATCTTGACTGCGTTCTTCCTCAGATGTTCTTGCAGATCAAGCACTTCACACTCCGTCTTCTGGAGCTGGTTTCTCAGACTTTTTGCTAGAGCATCCTGTTTCGAAAGCTGAAGCTGTGCCTCATCCAGGTCCTTTTGCAAAGCTTCAATTTTTATCTCTTTGGATTTATATTCATTTTTCAGGCTCTGGATTTGTTCTTTCAGTAGACTGTGCTGTACAGTTCTGCTTTCATAGTCAGATAGCCTCTGCTTTTCTGAATCCATTAGATTTCCCTCAAGCTTCTTCACTTGCTCCTTTAGCTCTGTTATGGTACAAAGCTCCTTCATCTGAGACAGGAGCTGATCTCTCTCTTCAGTCAGAACATGCAATGCACTGTTAGAGTTCTCTGCATTTTTCCTGCATTCCTCAGCCAGCTGGGTTAGCCTATTTATTTCTGCCACTTTCTCGTCTGAGTCTTTCTTATACAATTCCTCGGATTTCTGCAGACTTGTTTGCAGCTCCATAATTTTTATCTGCAACTGTGTCAGCTCCTGAGGCTGAGAAAGATCAAGCTCTGTAGTTGCTGCAGAGAGCGCTCCTCTAAGCCCTTGCACTGCCTCCATTTCCCCTCCACTGTGGGTGATGTGCTCTAGGGGTACTCCTGGGAAGCTGTTTGTCTCTTCCTGAAGCACAGAGGTTTTCTGCACTTCCTCCACTGTCAGCGAGCAGCTGCTCAATTCACTCTGGATAGATGAGGTCTTTTGTCCTTCTCCCTCAAGGAATCTTGGCTGGAGTCTTCCTCCCATTAGGTTTATTTCTTCCTCTGCCAAGTTCATTGCAGGTGTTTGGTTTTCTGGGTCCAGGAGCTGTCCCTTCAGAAATATTATCTCCTCTTGAGCTTCCCTCAATTCCAGCAACAAGACTGACAGCTCTTTATGTTTCTCTGCAGAAAGATACTCCAGAATGCCAGCTGGGCCACTTTCTTCAGCAGACTGCCCACAGCTGCTTCTTGGGGTTTCATCTGTACTGGGCTAGAACAAGAAAAGAAGAGCTAGTCTCAAATAAACCACTATTCTCTTGAACCCCATGAGAGGGTTGACTTACTCTGACCCTGCATCTGGATGCCTCTGCCTCATTTTCCCACTTTATGGTACCAGCAAAGTGTACACACTTTACATGTTGCAGCAAAGGTTCCCGTTTCTTGGACTGTTTACTGGAACATAAAAGTATGCAAGGACCTTTATGGCAGTCCTCTTCAGGTCCTTTTTATATCCTTCCCAATTACCCATGTCGGAGCTTCAGGGATTGGCTCTCAGCTCCCTGCCAGTTTTCAGGTGCCCATAGTTTCTCTAGATCCCTGCAGAGAGAGACTCTGAAGTGTCCTTCTCTTCCTGTGCCTCTCCCAGGTCTCCCAGTAGGCCTCTTCAACCAGTACCTTCCTGGGCTCCTGTCCCAGATCCCTCTGGGTAGGGAGCTCTCCTGGTATCACTTCAAACAGAGTTTTGGGGGAGATCTACACCAGGTCTTTCCTGGCCTCTGGTTTAACCCTACGACATGAGAGGAACCTACTTTTTATTTCCTGCCTTGATTATTTGACCAGTTACACGACCCTTCCTAATGGTCTTTTACAGTGATTACAAGCAGCTGCTGCCATCCCAAGGGCAAAAGGGTTCATTCTTTCCCTGCCAGTGCAGAGAGAAGGTCAGCACACCCAGGCTCACCTCTTCAGTGCAGGCATCAAGGAATTGCCACACTGGGATTGGGTGTGGAAAGAAGGGTAAGCTCAGCACGACAGAAATTTCAGACCAGAAATGTAACCAGACTCCTGTGGGAGGTCTTGTTCACACACAGCATCAAATCCTTAACCATTTTAGGACCCTCTGTCACTTGTTGCTGGGCTGTAAGCCAGACAGGCTCAATGGGGACCAAACCCCTGTTTTATAGGGCTCTAAACAAGAGGCTTGTTCCCTATTTTGTGTCTGATGCCAGGATCAGAGGGCTAGATAGGACATCTGGACCAAGGTATTTGCTCTTATTCAAGTAGCATTCCTTGTGGTCTCGCTCTCTTCTGGAGATGGGGGGCAATGAATCCTCCTCAGAGCAAAGGGTGGAAGTCCCCGTCCCTGTCCCGTCCCCGTCCCCCCCCCTCGCATTTATGCTTTAACTCCCCATAACATTAATGTTCTGGTGTTGCAAGGGCTGTGCCGCTGTCAAGCTGGAGGAAGGGACTGATTAACAAGGAATGATTAAAGAGAGCTAAATACAGTAACTCCTCACTTAACGTTGTAGTTATGTTCCTGAAAAATGCGACTAAGTAAAACTAAGTTAAGCGAATCCAATTTCCCCATAAGAATTAATGTAAAATGGGGGGGTTAAGTTCCAGGGGAAAAAAATTTTGCCAGACAAAAGGCATTATACACATTTAAACAAGCAATTTAATACAGGTATAAGTTTTAAACGGAGGAGGTGCCCCTGGCTTACCCTACATAGGCACAGCCCACTGGCACTGGAGATGAGGCAGGCAAGGAGGCTGAAGGTGCTGTAGGCTAGGAGAAGCAGGTTGCGCAGCAGTAGCAGCTTCCCCTACTCTGCAAGCACCAGGGGCGGGGGCAGTTCAACCCTCAGCCTGCCCACTCCCCGCCTTCCCCCAAGCCCCCATCCTTGACCTGCCTCTTCTCCCCCGCACCTCCTCCCCCCTTACTTCGCATGCTGTGTCCTCGCTCCTCCCCCTTCACTCCCCTCCCTTCTAAACACCACAAGCCAGCTGATTGCTGTGGGCAGGAGGCAGGGGAGGGAGGGGGAAGGTGCTGATCCGCGGGATCTGCCGGCAGATGGGAGGCGCTGTGAGGGGTGGGGTGCGTAGGGAGGCTGCCAGCTGTGGAGAAAGCAGGCAGCCAAACAACGTAAGAGTGGAGCATTGCACAACTTTAAACGAACATGTTCCCTAATTGATCAGCAACGTAACAACGAAACAACGTTAACCGGGAAGACTAAGTGAGGCGTTACTGTACATAGAGCCTTGCTCAGCACCATAATAGCACCATCAGGTTCTGCGATTATGGAAGCTCTAGAATTTGAGCCTTTTCAAACTAGATTGGACATTATCTAGACTATAGACTTGTCTAACTTTGTGACAGAACCTATATTGACAAGGTCATACCTGGGTTAGAACCATGGTATCTTCAGATGGCTGAGGAGATTGTGGTTCATTATTCACTAGTGTTGCTGAATGACCTAGTGACAAAATACATGCATGTCACCAGCAGAAAATCCAGATCCACAGTAAGCCAGTGAGCAGATGGAAAGAGATCCAGACACATGGGGCTGGAGCTTCCTCAAGTCCTCAGGAAGTGAGGGGAGAAGAGAGACAGACCGTGGTGCCCTAGGGCAGGCTCCCCTCACCCTCCAGACCTAGCAGCCTATCCCTTTGACTGGGGCACCACATTGTGCAGGACCTTCCTTAACTCATGAGGATGGAGTGAATTGGAGAAAGGGGGAAGAGAAGGGGAACCAGGGCAGGCTCCCCCACCAGGATCCAGCAAGTCCATTCCCCTCTCTGCAACAACAGCCTTCTCTTGCTGCCAGCTAACACAGTTAGTCCTGAAGTTCAAGCAGTAGCACATAACAGAATTAGTTTTTACCTCTTGCTTTAAAAAAAAAAAACAAACAAACCACCCTAGGAAATTAAAAACAAAAAATTATGTTAAAAGAACACTGCGGTGGCAAGTCAAGCTCTCAAATGCTAGGAAATGCCAGATTTATGGTTTCCCATGCACTTTCATTCTGCCCCCCTTTGCATATGCATTATGATACAGTCTTTACTTACATGATCACATGCTATTTTTTCCAAACGATGCCTGCCTCATTCAGTGCAGGACACGCAAGTGGACAGATTTAAGAAAAACTAAATCTGTTATTTCCTAAATTTCAAGAGCTTGACTTTGCAACCTAAATAACATTTTTAACATTGTTTTATTTGTATGTAAGAATCTTACTAGACAAGATGGACAAAAGAGGGAAAACAGAGGCACAAAGAGGGGAAGTGACTTGCCCACAGTCACGCAGCAGGCTAGTGACAGAGCAAGGAACAGAATGAAGATCTCCTGACTCCCAGCCCAGTGTCCTATCACTGGACAACACTGCCTCGCACCTTTCCTGTATACTACCTCAGACTCTGACCCTACCAACCCTTCTCTCTCCTTCTTATCTCAGATGCCACCTCACAACCCAATATAAAAATCTTCCTCCCCACTGTGCCACCTCAGATTTACTCCCTGTCTCCCCATGTATAGTATCAGAACCTTCCTCTTTCTGCACAGCTTCAGAACCTGACCTCAGAGTCCCTCTCCCTGAATCACTTCAGACCCTTCCATGAAGCCTCATAGACTCTCCCCAGCTGTGCAGTCTCCCTAACTTCTCCAATTCTGTGAGGTTACCATCAGGTGAGCAGTATCCAGAGCAGGATGGTCCTTCTTGAGTCAGCAAGTCCAATAACTTGGAATCAGTTCCAGTGCTGTCAGTCTATTGGAAAACAAAGATTGGTTGGTTCAGAGCTGTAATCATCACCGTTGAACTCAGCTGTTTTAGCTGCCTGGCACACTGTCTGACCACTCTGAATCCTGCTACTTTAAGACCTATATCTGCTGCCTAATGGAGATACAAAAAAATTTTTAAGGTACTAGATAAAAGCCTGAATGCAGATCTCAGTGATCTATCAAGTTAACCTTTAGGGCACCAAGAAATATCAACATCCTAAGCACCTCCCCCACCACACCCTATATGTGACCCGCACATTCCTTCTTCTCCTCTCCAAAAAGGAGCAACTCCACTTTCCTATCCTTCCATCATCTTCCTTCAACACACCAGATGAGGGCCTTTCCCAGGAGGCAGAGCATCCTGTCACGTTAACAGGCCAACTCGGATCAAAGGCATAGATTAATTCACTTGTGGGTGAATATCAAAGAAATGTTAAGTGTCCTGGTATACATCGAGCAATTCACTTGTGTGTGCATATCAAAGAACATAAGAACAGTCATACTGGGGCACACCAAAGGTCCATCTAGTTCAGTATCCTGTTTTCCAGCAGTGGCCAATGCCAGGTGCTCCAGAGCGAATGAACAGAACAGGTAATATCAAGTGATCCATCCCCTGTTGCCCATTCCCAGCTTCTGGCAAACAGAAGAAATGTTAATGTTATTGTCTTCACTTACCTATAACCTGTTTACTATCGTATTACATTATGTATACCCAGTAATTAAATAACCCTAGATTGAAGTGTGTGTTAGTGTTAAGTTTACACATCCAGTACATTTACATCTTATTGAAAAATAACAAAAGATTGTTTCGGGCTATCACATTGTGTTTACATTATGTTTACCCATCGCACAAGACTGGAGTCTTGGAAATGTAAAAGTTTGCTAACTGCAGAGCATGGGTTGTTGTGTTTGACAATGGAAGTTCACAGACTCTGTTTGCATTTAATCAACAAAAGAAGAGTCCATGTTGTGATAAAAACACTTGCCAGATCACTTTCCATAGAAAGCGGCTATAAGAATGGATCCAAGGATTGATCCTGTATCTCTGAACTGTTTTGGATTCTAACAGGGTGGCCTACTGAACAAGTAGACAGAGATCCCCAAAATTATCCTGGGCAACCCCGAGGAACTTTTGGAAAACTAGCAGATCACTACACCTCCATAATCAATTTGGACTTACCAACTGACTCACCTGTTAATGTATTTTACCTGCTTTAACCTCTCACTAACTCTAATTTCTTTTCTTACTAATAAAACTTTAGTTCGTTTACTAGAGAAATCAGCTTCCAGCATTGTTTTTGGTGTGAAATCAAGACTATTCATTGACCTGGGGTAAGTGACTGACTCTTTGGGGTTGGGAATAACCTAATGTGATGTGAAATTTGGTATAAGAGACCATTACCACAAAGTCCAATTTGTCTGGGTGGCAAGGCAGGCTGGAGAGCCTAAGGGGACTGTTTGTGGCCCCATGGTAAGACTAATACAGCGATCCAGCAGTGCACATTTGTTACTGGCTTGGTGAAATCTAATTATAGGATATACCACCAGTTTGGGGTGTCTGCCCTGCTTTCCGACAATCTGACTGAATTGGCACTCTCAGTTGTGAAGCACTTCAGACAGCATGACAACTGGTGTAGTCAAACAGGATTTACATGCCACAGGCCAACTGGCTTAACAATTGGAACCCAACGCTATTTAAAGTCTAAATTCGATATTGAGAGTTTTAAGAGTTAAAGATTAGCCACAATGGGTGAACCACAATCACATGAGCATCTTGACCTGAAAGACCTTAAACAATTATGTAAAGAAAGGGGTTTATCCTTTGGAAAGAAAACGTCAAATAAGGAACTAGGAGCTTTGCTCATGGACTTTGACCAGAAGGCTGGGATTCAGCCTCCCCATGCCTCAGATGCTGCTACAGCAGAAATGGTCTGAATGCAATGACAAAGCATGGGAGCACGAAATCATAGAATCATAGAATATCAGGGTTGGAAGGGACCCCAGAAGGTCATCTAGTCCAACCCCCTGCTCGAAGCAGGACCAATTCCCAGTTAAATCATCCCAGCCAGGGATTTGTCAAGCCTGACCTTAAAAACCTCTAAGGAAGGAGATTCTACCACCTCCCTAGGTAACGCATTCCAGTGTTTCACCACCCTCTTAGTGAAAAAGTTTTTCCTAATATCCAATCTAAACCTCCCCCACTGCAACTTGAGACCATTACTCCTCGTTCTGTCATCTGCTACCATTGAGAACAGTCTAGAGCCATCCTCTTTGGAACCCCCTTTCAGGTAGTTGAAAGCAGCTATCAAATCCCCCCTCATTCTTCTCTTCTGCAGGCTAAACAATCCCAGCTCCCTCAGCCTCTCCTCATAACTCATGTGTTCCAGACCCCTAATCATTTTTGTTGCCCTTCTCTGGACTCTCTCCAATTTATCCACATCCTTCTTGTAGTGTGGGGCCCAAAACTGGACACAGTACTCCAGATGAGGCCTCACCAATGTCGAATAGAGGGGAACGATCACGTCCCTCGATCTGCTCACGATGCCCCTACTTATACATCCCAAAATGCCATTGGCCTTCTTGGCAACAAGGGCACACTGCTGACTCATAACCAGCTTCTCGTCCACTGTCACCCCTAGGTCCTTTTCCGCAAAACTGCTGCCTAGCCATTCGGTCCCTAGTCTGTAGCTGTGCATTGGGTTCTTCCGTCCTAAGTGCAGGACCCTGCACTTATCCTTATTGAACCTCAACAGATTTCTTTTGGCCCAATCCTCCAATTTGTCTAGGTCCTTCTGTATCCTATCCCTCCCCTCCAGCGTATCTACCACTCCTCCAAGTTTAGTATCATCCGCAAATTTGCTGAGAGTGCAATCCACACCAGTCTCCAGATCATTTATGAAGATATTGAACAAAACTGGCCCCAGGACCGACCCTTGGGGCACTCCACTTGATACCGGCTGCCAACTAGACATGGAGCCATTGATAACTACCCGTTGAGCCCGACAACCTAGCCAGCTTTCTACCCACCTTATAGTGTATTCATCCAGCCCATACTTCCTTAACTTGCTGACAAGAATACTGTGGGAGACCGTGTCAAAAGCTTTGCTAAAGTCAAGAAACAATACATCCACTGCTTTCCCTTCATCCACAGAACCAGTAATCTCATCATAAAAGGCGATTAGATTAGTCAGGCATGACCTTCCCTTGGTGAATCCATGCTGGCTGTTCCTGATCACTTTCCTCTCATGCAAGTGCTTCAGGATTGATTCTTTGAGGACCTGCTCCATGATTTTTCCAGGGACTGAGGTGAGGCTGACTGGCCTGTAGTTCCCAGGATCCTCCTTCTTCTCTTTTTTAAAGATTGGCACTACATTAGCCTTTTTCCAGTCATCTGGGACTTCCCCGGTTCGCCACGAGTTTTCAAAGATAATGGCCAATGGCTCTGCAATCACAGCCGCCAATTCCTTCAGCACTCTCGGATGCAACTCGTCCGGCCCCATGGACTTGTGCACATCCAGCTTTTCTAAATAGTCCCTAACCACCTCTATCTCCACAGAGGGCTGGCCATCTCTTCCCCATTTTGTGATGCCCAGCGCAGCAGTCTGGGAGCTGACCTTGTCAGTGAAAACAGAGGCAAAAAAAAGCATTGAGTACATCAGCTTTCTCCACATCCTCTGTCACTAGGTTATAATAAAGATATAAATAAAGATAAATAAAGATATAAAGATAGAAATAAAGACTGAGAGCCACTTCAGACAGCATGACAAACCCACACTCTCCAGAAACTCTGTCACTGGCAATTCTTGCTGCTTTATGCCACTTATCTTCTGCTGCTTTTTAGTCTGAGGTGATAGAACCTGAGAAGTGCAGAAGGTGGAGTATATTGTGGAAAGAAAGAGTAGAATGTGCTGCCCACAGAGGGGAAAGAGACTCTTCTTCCTCCACAGAGCCTCCTACTAAAACCCAGGAAATTAGCTGATCTCTTGGTGACATCCAGACAGGGATCTAGTTTTGTAAGACTCAGTGCACTAGTCCTTTGATCTCTTAAAAGAAAAAAAAAAAAAAAAAGAAAGTTCACATGTGGATCGATACAGACTTAAAAAGAATTCTGTGATCTTAAGTCTCAGATCTTAATTCCGAGTACACACTGGCCAACATCACAAACCACCACAGACATTTGGCCATACTGGTAATTTGTGCAGAAGCAAACCAAGACCAGAATAGCAAGGGTCTGTGGCTCAGAACTGAGGCACATCAGCAAACCTAGGGTAGGAAAAGTGCCCCCTCAACAAAAATAATAAAAATCAGGGGGCATAAGGAAACAGCACACTTCGTATTCAAACAAACCTAGCAAAGCAGAAATGAGGCTGAAGTTAAATTTAAGCCCAGCAATACCAGTCAATTAAGTATTACTGCTTCCTATCAGAGGTAGAGAAATATGTAGCTGTGTATTATTTTATAGCAGCAGTAGCCCTAAGCAAATCTCTCAACAATCACTCTCAAAAGCAACGCAGACGCACCAAAAAGCTTTGGGAACAAAACTGATGTCTGTTACCATCATGTATAGACCATACAGTAGCAGTACAGGGCACAGGGGAGTCATTCAGCATCACATTAGGCACGATCTCCAACCCAAAGTGCAAGACTGCTTTTGCCCTTTATGAGTGGCAACGTCACCAATATTTATGCAAACCGGAAAGATGGCTGTCCAATTCAGATTAGATCTGGGCACGAGTCCAGTCCTCCCCTGCGTTGGATTCATATTCATACAAATCTCAGTCTAAAATAAAGACTTGATAAAAGATGCTAAAATGGCAATGGCCCTCCCCACTCCCAGCACTGGGCCCCATCTAATCTGTAGCTTCTTGTGCAGGGTGACTATTAGTAGTAAAAAGAACCAAATAAAGCGGCTTTGGTACATCCTGAAATGGGACAAACTCCCCCTTGCTTTTAAATCAATGACTAATAAAGAGTTAGGCAAAATGTGAACAGTCATCTAAAACACACAACCAGAGGAATAACCTGATAGCCTAGAGGCTGTGAACCCCATGCCACAAGCCACTCACTCTTCCAAGCCAACAGGAGACATGTGTGCTGGGTGGGCGGTGATATTACACCATCACGACTTCACCCCTGCTAACTGGTTGGAATGGAGGATGGCGCTTTGGAAAGAGCCCCAATCTTGCTTTCAGCTAAATTCTTAATACAGGTATTTGGGGGCAGAGACCCCCCTATCAGCTAGTCTATCCAGCATGGAGTGAGGCAACAGGTGGTCCCCTACTATTCTTGCCCTCATCTACAGGTTGTTTGTAAGATCATTGTACCATGAGCTGTTCACCATCGAATGGACTGTGCAAAGGTTCCATCTCCCTGCTCTAAGGGACAGGGACAAAAATATTCTACTAATCCCCTGCTCCTACTTGACAAAGGATCACTGTTTTCTCTTCTATGAGAGATCCCTTATAAGGCAATGGGAGTGCATGGGGCTGAAATGTTAACCTGTAACACAAAGTTAAACCTTTAGAGTGGTGCTCCCTAGGACCTATATCAACTGGATATCAACTGGACACAGAACACTACAGAACGGAAATGTGGCTGAACAGGGAGCAGTTGTGAAGACTGGGGAGGTTTGACAATGGATGAAGGGGGCTCAGAAATCCCACATAACTAGTAAACAGGGATGGGGTTTGCTTTCCAGCCAACTACAAGCTGTATTTAGAGGCCATTTCCACATTAATCCACCTAATAATAACCTAGCAAAGAGGATTGTTAGAAGAAGACTCAACAGCTTATGGGAAGCAGTTTAAGGTCATGTCCTCAACCTATTTTAGGTTTAGTTCAGTCTGGCTGCTTGGTCATTACCTGGTTTGAATCTTCCATGCTCATCACAGCTTCATGCTGAGCCTCCAGGAGGGTATGTTGAGAGCACAGGGTCTCTGAAATGTTCACAAACAAGTGGCATTAACCTTCAGAGAAAACTCTCTTTTCCCTGAGTGAGGGAAGCACTCTCATACTTTCCAGAGAGCAGGGTCCAGGGCTGTCCACAACATGCAAGTGGAGGAGGAGATACGGAGTCACCCCAGGACGGAGCATTAGTTCAAGCTCTCTTCAGAGAAAGGTTAGGATTGCCCTGGCAGAGTCATGTCACCAGGACAGAGCACTACTTTGGGCACCTTTCAGAATAAAGCTATGATTGGCCTGGAGAGGGAAAGTAAAGGGCAATCAGTAGAGCTGGTAGGCTTAAAAATGTTTGCTGTGAGGAAAAAACCCCACAATCATTCTAACAGAACTCTTCACATTTCATTTTGATAAAGTGAAATGAAAAACTATTAGAAGGGTTATTCTAATAAATTATTTAATTTAATAAACTGGAATAGGGTTCAAAATGCAAGGGCCTTAATTTAAAAGTGAAGATGTTGGAAGAAAGTAAACTCAATTTGGCTCCATAACTTTCTGTAAACTGGCACCTAGATACTATGGTGATGGACACATTACAAAAACCTAGACAGAAACAGACTGGGTTAAAAGTGCTGATCTACTGTATTTGTAGGTAATGATTTTAATGAATATAGAATTTACTTTCTTGATTCATTATTGCAGGCAAGGAATTTCCATCTGGATCTAGTAGTGTTTGTGACAAGTTATTGTCCAGATTTTATCATGACTGATTTTTAAATATGTATCCTCTAATAAAAGGAATACTTGTGGCACCTTAGAGACTAACAAAATTTATTTGAGCATAAGCTTTCGTGAGCTACAGCTCACTTCATCGGATGCATTCAGTGGAAAATACAGTGGGGAGATTTAGATACACAGAGAACATGAAACAAGGGGTGTTACTATACACACTGTAACGAGAGTGATTAGGTAAGGTGAGCTATTACCTTTATCTCTAATATATTCTCCTAGAGCTATGCCTGCATAAAAGAGCTAGACATGTAACCTGGTCATTTTCATGCTGGTGTCTTGCCAGTAGGAGTTTTTCGTTTTATTAAGAGTCAATTCTATTAGAGATGTTGCCTCAGCCTTTTTGCAGTATAAAAGGACAGTTAAGATGCAATTTATGCAAGGTTCTCCCCCCCCCCCCGCACCCTCAGCAACACTAACTTCGGCACATTGCAAAAACTGAGCCTTTTTTCTTGGTTAAACACAATTTTCTATTATGATACATAATTTCTTTTTTACCTTTTATATATATATATATATATATATATATATATATATATATATACACACACACACATACATATACACACACACACAGAACCAGACATAGGACCAGGTTAACACTGTTGTGGGATCCTTAATTTCTGCACTTCCTGGCTCCAAATGTACAACCTTAATATTGAATTAATGTAGTGAGATAGCAGTTGTTCATTTGTCTTTTTGTCTGTTATATTTACAGTTGACATCAGAGGTTAAGTAACACCTAACATGGATTTTGAGAAAGCCCTGATGAACTACTCCCTCTGAGATTTGTGACATCTCTATATCACACTGGCTGGACTGTAGCTGGTCTGCTTTTCAGGCTGATGATTCATTTTCACTGGATTCATCTCAGACTGAACTCTGCCAGGGACAGACAGCCATACCCTTTTTGCCACTTAGTGGATCAAGAAAATGTTACGTATTTTGTAATCTGTATACAGAGTGAAGATGAACAGACATTTCATAATCTTTGGCATCTATACCTCATGGTTCTCATCAGTGCTGGCCTTACTATGATGCAAACTGAGGTGGCTGCCTCAGGTGCCAGACCGGGGGTGCAGGGGGTGGGTGTCACTAGGACCCAGAGTGTAGAAAATTGTCTCTGCTGCTGGTGCATATGTATTCTCTCTGCTCTAGATACACAGAGAGGGTGGAGTGCTGTGCTGGAGGAAGGAAGGCACAAGAGCCATAACAGGCAGGTAGGAGAAAAGGTGAGAGGGAATAACAGAAAGCAGCAGGAGCTACAGGGAGAGAGAGGAGGAGCAGCCTCTTATGTACCTCTCTAGCACCCACAGGAGCCTGGACTGATTAACACCAGCTGCTCAGGGAGCTTCCTGTTTCCTGCTGCTTCCTTGAACCCACTTGAGGAGAACAGGCAGTCAACTGAAGTAGTAGGAGCCAGTTAGGCCCTTAAGACGCTACTATCTTCCTCACTCAGGCTCTGCTACCAGCCTGTTTATTTGTCCCCTTCAGTTGAGTGTTGAAAGTCACTATAGCTGGCAGAACAGCAGTCATGAGTGAAAAGAAAACGCCCCTCTGGGGCAGCATTCAGAAAAGGAAAGAAAGCAAAGGAAGCTTTTCTATCTAAGCAGGAAGGAGCTCTCCTGAGATACATAGACACAAATGTTCACAGAGAGCCTTCCGGCCCCAGAGAGGATGTGAGTGGTGAGGAGATGCCTGATCTTCCAGTTAGTCAGAGTGCAGGTGACCTGGCAGCTACTTCAGCATCCATATCTCCATCTCAAATGGATGTAACCATGCACATTCCTGAAGAAAAGTGTAGATCAGAGAAGAGTGTGGTGGAGGTGCAAGAAACAGCTGCTGCTGAGTTTAGTTCCTTAAATCTAGATGATCCAGGACTGTGGATCCACTTGAGCAGTGGCCTGAGGGACTTCCTTGTACGGCATGGGCCACAGCAAGTGAAAAACTTCACATTCCCCAAAGACAATGAAAATAGAAGTTTCCATCCAACATGTTACTGGCGTGAAATCCCCAATGGTGACAAAGTGGATGTACTCAAAAACCCAGAATGCTGCATACTGTTTTTGTTGCAAACCTCTTCCAGTCTAATGTTCCAGCCACACTGGGTTCTACAGGAACAAAGGACTCGAAAAATCTAGCATGCCATGAGAAGGCAGCAAATCACCAGACAGAATTCCATAGGTGGAAAGAGCTTGAAGTGAGACTAAGATTAAAGGTCGCCATAGATCAGCATCAAGAGAAGACTGCATCAGAGTCTCTTTACTGGCAAAATGTTCTGAAAAGGCTCATTGCCACTGTGAGAATGCTTGCTACCCAAAACCTAGCACTGCGTGGCACTTCAGATCAGCTGTAAGTGCCAAACAATGGAAACTTCCTTAAAATTGTGGAGCTGATGGCTGAGTTTGATGCTGTACTCCAGGAGCATCTAAGAAGAGTCACCATTCAAGAAATGTTTCAGAGTAACAGCCGTGTTAGTCTGTATTCGCAAAAAGAAAAGGAGTACTTGTGGCACCTTTAGAGACTAACCAATTTATTTGAGCATAAGCTTTCGTGAGCTACAGCTCACTTCATCGGACGCATGATGATTCATGATGTGGAAACTGCAGAAGACATTATATACACAGAGACCATGAAACAATACCTCCTCCCACCCCACGCTCCTGCTGGTAATAGCTTATCTAAAGTGATCACTCTCCTTACAATGTGTATGATAATCAAGGTGGGCCATTTCCAGCATAAATCCAAGTTTAACCAGAACGTGCGGGGAGGGGGAGGTAGGAAAAAACAAGGGGAAATAGGCTACCTTGCATAATGACTTAGCCACTCCCAGTCTCTATTTAAGCCTAAATTAATAGTATCCAATTTGTAAATGAATTCCAATTCAGCAGTTTCTCGCTGGAGTCTGGATTTGAAGTTTTTTTTGTTTTAAGATAGCGACCTTCATGTCTGTAATTGCGTGACCAGAGAGACTGAAGTGTTCTCCGACTGGTTTATGAATGTTATAATTCTTGACATCTGATTTGTGTCCATTTATTCTTTTACGTAGAGACTGTCCAGTTTGACCAATGTACATGACAGAGGGGCATTGCTGGCACATGATGGCATATATCACATTGGTGGATGTGCAGGTGAACGAGCCTCTGATAGTGTAGCTGATGCTATTAGGCCCTGTGATGGTGTCCCCTGAATAGATATGTGGGCACAGTTGGCAACGGGCTTTGTTGCAAGGATAGGTTCCTGGGTTAGTGGTTCTGTTGTGTGGTATGTGGTTGTTGGTGAGTATTTGCTTCAGGTTGGGGGGCTGTTTGTAGGCAAGGACTGGCCTGTCTCCAAGATTTGTGAGTGTGTTGGGTCATCCTTCAGGATAGGTTGTAGATCCTTAATGCGTTGGAGGGGTTTTAGTTGGGGGCTGAAGGTGACGGCTAGTGGCGTTCTGTTATTTTCTGTTATTTTCTTTGTTAGGCCTGTCCTGTAGTAGGTGACTTGATTATCATACACATTGTAAGGAGAGTGGTCAGTTTGGATGAGCTATTACCAGCAGGAGAGTGAGTTTGTGTGTGTGTTTTGTTTTTTGTTTGTTTTTTTTTGGGGGGGGGGGGGGGGAGGTGAGAAAACCTGGATTTGTGCTGGAAATGGCCCACCTTGATTTTCATACACATTGTAAGGAGAGCGATCACTTTAGATAAGCTATTACCAGCAGGAGCATGGGGTGGGAGGAGGTATTGTTTCATGGTCTCTGTGTATATAATGTCTTCTGCAGTTTCCACAGTATGCATCCGATGAAGTGAGCTGTAGCGCACGAAAGCTTATGCTCAAATAAATTGGTTAGTCTCTAAGGTGCCACAAGTACTCCTTTTCTTTTTGAGATCATACAGTTACTGGCAACAAAGTCAAACAGAAAATTGTTTGAATGTCAGAAGATCTGACATCAGCAAGATATTACTCTGTTATTCTGGACTGCACACCTGATCAGCCATAAGGAACAAATGACTTTAATGGTGTGTTTTGTAACAACAACAGAATCTAGTGACAATGTCCCTGTATCGGTGACTGTCAGAGAGCATTTTCTAGAATGTATGACACTGATGATACTACAGGAACTGGTATGACAAATGTACTTCTTAAAATGCTGGAAGATACGGAAATTGCGATAGCTGACATGAGAGGTCAGGGCTCCGATAATGGTGCCAACATGAGAGGCAAGAACAGAGCAGTGCAGACACAGATCCGAGAGTTAAACCCTCTAGCTTTTTTTGTCCCATGCAGTTCTCATTCATTGAACTTGGTGGTCAGTGATGCAGCATCAGCTTCTAGTGAGGCTGCTGAATTTTTTAACGTAATTCAAAGCATCTATGTATTTTTCTCTGCATCAACTCATCAATGGCAAATTCTGAAGCAACATCTGGGAACATCCTCTCTGACACTGAAACCACTGAGTGCCACATGATGGGAAAGTTGAGTGGAGGCGATAAAGCCTATCAAACACCAAATTGGGAAGATAGATGATGCCACAGTTGTCGTTATGGAGGATAATGCTATGACAGGAACTGTTCGTGGAAGAACAGTGGCAGTGGGAAATGGAATCACCAGAAACATACATATCTTCAAATTTCTGTGTGGCTTAGTGTTGTGGCATGACATACTGTTTGAAATAAGTGTTGTAAGCAAGAGACTCCAAGGTGTTGACCTTGATATATCTGGAGCAATGGAACAACTGGACAAAGCAAAGTCATACCTATAGTCTTACCGGTCAGGTGAGGGAATTCAAAACTTTCTGAAGAGTACACAGAAGTTGGCAGAGGAGCTTCACACTGAAGCCATTTTCCCACCCATTCAAGAATACAAGAGTCACCGAAGAAGACAACATTTTGATTCGAGGCATGGGATAATCCCATCAGAGACCCCAAATAACAAGTCAAAACTGAATTCTTTAACTAGGTGCTAGATTCTTCAACTGACTGTATTGCACAATGTTTCATGCGGCTCAAGGAACACAGCAGTATATTTGGGACGTTGTATGATATTCCAAAACTCCTCACTATACCTGAAGACCACCTACACCAGCAATTCAGGGCACTAGAGACAGTGTTGACACATGATGACATGCACGATATTGATGCGAGTGATTTAGGTGATGAACTGAAAGCCCTTTCAAGATACAGTTCAGCAGGATCAACTCCAAAGGCTGCTCTGGAATATATGTGCACAAATAAGATGACCACCTTCTTATACCTGGCCTCCCATGTGATCTGATCATCCTCACATTCGCCCTATCCTTTCCTTGTCCAAGCCTCCATGTTCTCTCCTTCTGCCATCCTGATCTTTACTTAGATTACCTTCTCCAATCATTACTTGCTATCACAAAGATAAAACCTGTGCTTTAATCATTCCAGCAGGTTGGCCCACTAGTTTGGGAATCATATGCATCCGATGAAGTGAGCTGTAGCTCAGGAAAGCTCATGCTCAAATAAATTGGTTAGTCTCTAAGGTGCCACAAGTACTCCTTTTCTTTTTGCGAATACAGACTAACACGGCTGTTACTCTGAAACCTGTCATTCCAATTATAGTTTCTGGAAAGGATTAGAGAGCAGTTCTGAAATCCTCAGCAGGGAGCGCTGATTAATCCAGTAATCATGGGTATGTTTATTAGCTGAAAATAGGCAGAAGGAAGTGTAATTATACCATTTTCAGCCTTTAGCCCCTCCAAGCCTGCAGTGGGTAGGAGTAAAGTCCTCTTCTCATCCTCCTGTTCCACCACATTTTTCTGCAGAGGTATTTCATCCTGCTCAGAGACTGGCTAGAGAGCAGAAAGACAGAAAGTTACCAACAGCTTTCTCACAGGTATTAGCCCTCTTTCTTTCAGTTACACTTTCGACAAATCCATTAGTAACTTCTAAATTCCCCCGACTGACCCATACTAGTTTACTTCCTTTACAGGCAGTTTCTTAAAACATCTGCCCAGACTGGAGAATTTTGCAAAGAGACCCTGTATTAACCTTCTCAGCCAATTTGATCAAGAGAAGGTATTTCCATATTCTGCACTATCTGTTTGATTCTTAGGATATGAGAGAGTTTTAGGTTACAATTACCTTTAGAGATTGTACCTGCTCCTCTGATTGAGAGACCTGCATCACTGGCTCAGACTTTAACAATTTTAGCTCAGTCTGGCAATGGACGAACTCCTCAGATTTTTGCGTGAGCTCATCTAAGAGAAAAAGTTAAACATAAGTATACACATCTCTGCTTGTGTGTCTGAGTAGATCTACTTTAGATGTATGCACACTGGAATATGTAACCTTTCACCTCTCAGTCAGCGCTTCTACTCTGGCCCCAACCGGTACCTGCAGGAAGTCCATATCACCCGACAGTTCTATATGAAATAAATGAATCTAGTTCCAGTTCTTAGTGGATATGAGAGAACATCACAGAAAATACAACAGTTTGCCAACCAAAGGATCAGGGAATGCCCTCTCAATAGAGAAGTGCAGGACTGAACAGACAAGGAGATGGAACATTCCTCTTTAGAGGATTTAGACACATTGTCAAGGAAGATTGCAGAGTGGCTACAAGTATAAGTCTGTACTATCTATCTAGACGTTTCACCCATGCTCACTCACTGCCATGAACAGAAGGGAAAATTACGATCATCTCGTCTGATCTCCTGCATAGCAAAACCATTTTTCCCCCCCCCATCAAGCAATTCCTGCATCAAGCCCATAATCTCCAGTTGGGCTAAAGTATAAATATCTTTTAGAAATATATATCATCTTGATTTAAAATGATGTCAAGTGATGGGGAATCTAGCACATCCCTAGGTAAGTTGTACCAGCAGTTCATTACCCTCACTGTTAAAATACATACTTCATTTCTAGACTGAATTTGTCTAGTTTCAATTTACAGCCATGGGATCTTGTTCTGCCCTTGTCTACTACATTAAAAAGCCCTCTAATATCAGAAATCTTCTCCTAATGTAGGTACCATGCTCATGTCACCCCCTAACTTTTTCTTGGATAAACTGAATAGATTGAGCTTCTCTAGTCTCTCATTGTAAACCAGTTTTTTCTTGGGATGTCACCAGTGTGAATTCTAGTCAATTTAAACAATGAGTTAAAAGTAGTTTCAAGTATTATCCATCTCCCTCAGTCCCACTGCCAATTTTTGTTGTTTTAGCACTACATTTTCCCATATTTCCAAAAAGAGTAACTGACTGTTCCAGGAAAACAATAAAATCGACTACACAAAATAAAAACACTGGAAAAAAAGATTTTTTTCTCTGATCTCTGTTATAAATCACCTTAATTATCAGCTGCAACAATAGTCTGTTAAATACTTTCAGAGAGAAGAGGGATTGCTAAGTTTAGGATATCCTTTAAATCATTTTTATCAAATTAATATGCAAACATCACTAAAATTTAAAAATAACTACAGCTCTGAAAGGCTAAAACAAAACTAAGGATTCCCATTAGCCTGGGAGCCAGGAAAGATTTATTCTTCCTCTTGTCATATAAGATATTACCCGCACTTTGCTAGGGAATTGCCATTAAAAAAAGCACACAAATCGGAACCACACAGAGAGGCTCCTGAGGTGTTGAGTCGATACACTTGCTACACTTGCTAACCTTGCAGGTGTTGTATGGTAGCGGAGTTTTCAGTAGACTGCACCAGCAGCCGATCAATATCCCGCAGCAGCTGATCATTCTGAGCTATGAGGCCATCATGGCTAGATCGCAGCTCTTGTTCAGCCATCTGGAGGTAAGTAATATGCAGCTTTTGCTCTTCTACCTCCAGCTTGTGTTTCTGGTCCTGAGCTCTACATTCAGATTCCAGTTCAGCCCGAGTTCTTCCTGCCTGCTCCAGCTGCTCTGAGAGATACTGCACCTCCTCCTGTAAGCAATGGAAGGACAGCTTCTTCTCAGCCAATTCCAGCTCCATCTTCTCCACGAGGCTTCGAGACTCCTCTCTCTCTGCATCCAACATGTTCTTTAAAGAGCTCAGCTCTGCCTCCATCCTCTGACACTGGTCCAAGAGAGTCTGGAAAAGGAGATGGGGAGGGACTCAACCAGAAGGAAAAACAATTGATTCCTGCTTCAGACCCTAAGGCACTGGGCAAAAATGGGCCCATGCTAAGTACACAAGTTAAACAAGAGGCAATTTCAACTAGCCAAGTGACAAGACATGAGAGGAAAGGAACAACACATGATGGGGATTCTAAACCTCCGCAGGAAGAAACACTGTCTTGTGACTCCTAAGGGAATATCAAAACTCTGCTGAGAGACATCAGAACTCTGAACTAGAGTGAAGAAAAAGAGAAACTGTAAGCTGGAATTAACATCCAACACATTCTCCTTCTAGGACACTCCAGCACAGAGAACATAACCTCTGTTTAAACAGAAAGGTTAGATAATTGCTTGCTTAGAATTGATGTTGTCTGAAGATATAAGTGCAACCGATTCTCAACCCTAGCAAAAAACCAGGTGGAAACACCTTAAAAATCAAAGTTCTGAGGCATTCAGGGCAGCAAGAGTGATTCTTGCTTGCCCTTACTCCCAAGCACCAGACTATCATGACTGGCACTGCAATGACCTTTGTATCACAAATGCCAGCTCCTTTGGAGTGAGAGGTAGGCATTGCAAAGGTACAGGTTTGTCAGTAAGGAAACATTGGGAGGCACAACCTACTCTCAGACAGTAGGGCCAATGTACTGCTCAGAGAGCTCAGCCCCTCAGTTCTGTGAACAACTCTGCCCCAGCAGGAGCAAGAACCTTCCACACACCTCCCTTAAGTCTAGGATGACTTGGATGTATGGGAGGGAGGGGACTGAACTGGTTGAAGCAAACAAAATCATTCTCTCTCTCCATGAAGTTTCCCTTGCCTGAAATATCACTATCCTACCGGTGCTTCAAGAGAAAACATAATAGGAGGAGAACTGAATTTCTAATGTAAAAACTATTGCAAAACCAACCCTTTCAGGCCTCTTTAAAACAGAAGCATAATGGCACAAAAAGCAATTTTTTCTTTTTGCATTACTTTAATTTTGTCCTCTAAATTACATAATAAAGAGACAGACTACAAAAACCTATACTAGTCAAATACCTTTCACACACTGCAAGAGCCACTAAAATAGGCAATAACCCTATTCACCTTCTTAAATCTTTAAGAAAGTGGAAAAACTGGCTCAGGTAAGAACTTGCATGCTTGAGTTTGAGGCAGCTCACCTATGAGCCAGTCACTTTCTATTCCCCCAAAACATTAAGATGAATAAGGTCAGATCCTACACGCTACTAGAGTTCCTATAAGCTTCCAATGGCTGGCAGGGGAAGCTGGAAGTGGCTAAATTCTGCACAGTTCCTAAAAACTGTTTAAAAATCAAAACAAAACAAAAACATGGAGGTGGTAATATTATATATTCCCCAAAAGCCCCAGCACATTCATAACAAGAATTGGTGTTGCTCAAAATATTGGGACCTCCGAGTTCAAAGCTTTAGTCAGCTGATGACACTAAAGGAGACAATATTAGAGAAAAGGATGCTTTTGCCTGGAACTAGACATTCTGAGGATTCTACAGCAAGCATAAAAATGAGTCAGGTGGCCCCATACCTAAGGTAACAGAGCTCAACAACTCAGTCACAGAGCTGCGCCACCAATTCTGGTCAGAAAAAGATTGCTAATTAAGGCACTAAGGGTCACCACACCCCCAGTGCAGCGCCAAAAACAAAAATGCACTCTCTTCAGGAGCTGGCAGCTTTGAACTTTGAGCTCAAGGAATTCTCAGCTTCTCTCATGCTAGAGATATGGCCCCTGTAGTAGGGAGCTATGTCAGGTACTAGGCTTTTGACGAGACAATTGCATCTGTTAACAGTAAAGGAACATACGAGAATAGAGCACGGCTATAGTACATTGAAAGTATGAGGAGGTACCTTGTTCTGTTCTTCCGCACCATGTAATTCCTGCTGCAGTAGTTCCACCACTTGAGTTCGTCCTAGCAAAGCCGCTTCCTGTTCCTCCAGCTTTCTCTGCAGTGTCCTCAGGTTCTATGTGAGACACACAAATCATCTACATCAGAAGCTGAGAGGACAGCAGCAGCCCAAAGCACAGGAGGGCTAGTTACACAGGAGGATCCCATCCCAGCCATACCCCAACTCTATGTATCTTAGGTACTTATATAGCTCCCATTACTTTAGTATCTGAGCACTCATACTCGTCCGTGTATTTATCCTGCCAACACCCCTATGAGGTAGGGAAATACGATTATTCCCATTTCTTCAGACACAGAACTGAGGCACAGAGACACTAGTGATTTACCCCCTAGTCACACAGGAAGTCTATGATAGAGCAGGGAACTGAACCCAGGTTTCCCAAGTCTCAGGATAGCATCCTAATCACTGAACCACCTTCCTCTCAACTCCCACAGAGTTCCTTTGTTAGCCTGCACACATCCCTGAGTTGCAAATCCCACTGAACCCATGCAATTTTCCCTTCTCATGTTCTACAAAAAGCAGGGGACTGTCAAACCCATCAAACACACCTGCTGCATCTCAGCTTCCAGATCTGATCGGGCCACTACTTGGTGTAATTCAGCATGGTGTTGGTGAACCTGCTTTTCTAGGAGAGCATCCTTCTCACGAATCACCTCCTGCAGGCAGCTCAGCTGTAAGCCATAGTACATAGCATGAGAAATGTCACTTGGCTAACAAAGAAACAAGGTAGAAATTCCAAAGACAGTACAAAGGACTGAGACCTGTTCTGGGGGTGTCAGGCACACAGACCATCAGGAGTTTTTCATCCTACTTTTTGTGGAGTGTGTTACGTGTGAGAATAGATTTGAACCAGAAGCCAAGATGTCCTGAGTAGTACAAGGCTCTGTGATAGCCATGCCAACTCAAAGAGATGATTTCACTTATGCTTACATATTTATTGACAACATTTCAGACTCTGGAAGTGCAAAAAGTGCAGATTACATTTTACATATACCCAGAGTCTAGAAAGCTACAATTTCCATACAATTACAGAAACATACAGTTTCTGTTGTTGGACTTGTCTTGAATGTCACAATCCATCATTTTAGCCATCAAAACCAAAAGCCGGCAAGTCTAGCTAATATTGTAAAGATTGGTATTAAAAGGCACTATATAAAAAAACCTAACATAACATCACAGTGCTCACTCCTCTAGTTGGGACAACAGTCTTCTAACTTACTTTGCCATTTCTTACTCATCTTTCCCTATGAAGTCACTGATTGTTACCAGCAGACAGTAAATATATCAATGGCGAGAAATCCATCTCCATACCTGGGCTGCTTGCTTGGTCTGAGTATCTGTCAGGTTCTCTCTAGTTGCAGTCAGCTGCTCCATCAGGTTCCTGACAGTGTCCTCCTGCTCCTGGAGTTTCTTTCTGAGTGTTTCAGCCTCCTCTCTCTGCTCTTCATTGGTCCTCTGATTATTCTGAAGCTGCAAGTGGAGAGAAGAAATCAGAAAGAAGTAGATATTAGTTAATTATATTAGACAGTCTCAGCCAGAGTGCAGCATGCTGTACAGTTATTAGAATCATAGGGTTAGAAGGGACAGCAAGGGTCATCTAGTATAACCCCCTGCCAAGATTCAAGATTTGTTGTGTCTAAACCATCCACGTCAGATGGCTATCCAGCCTCCTTTTGAAAACCTCCAGTGAAGGAACTTCCACAAATTCCATAGGCAGTCTGTTCCATTGTCCTACTGCTCTTACAATTAGAAAGTTTTTCCTGAGATTTAATCTTAATCTGTTATGCTCTAGTTTGAACCAACAGCCTCTTGTCATGCCCTCTGTGGCATGAGAGAACAATTTTTCTCCATCTTTTTATGGCAGCCTTTCAAATATTTGAAGACTTATGTCCCCCACCTTAAACTCCTCTTTTCCAAACAAAACATACCCAGTTCCTTCAGCCTTTGCTCATATGGCTTGCACTCCATCCCTTTGATCATCTTTGTCACTTGCCTCTGGATCCTCTCCAGTTTCTCTACATCCTTTCTATACATTGGTGACCAAAAGTGGACACAGTTCTCCAGCTGAGGCCTACCCAGTGCCGAGCAGAGCAGTACTATCACCTCCCATGATTTGCATGCTATGCCTCTGTTAATGCAACCTAAAATTGCATTTGCTTTTCTTGTAACAGCATCGCACTGTTGACTCATGTTGAGGTTGCGATCTACCACAAGTCCCAGAACCTTCCCAGCAATGCTGCTGCCAAACCAGTTATCCCCCATTCTGTATTTGTGCATTTGATTTTTTCTTCCCTATGTGTAATACCTAACATTGGTCTTTGTTGAATTACATTGTTGTCGTCTGTAGCCCAGTTCTCCAATTTATCAAGATCCCTCTGAATTTTAGCTCTATCCTCCAAAGTATTGGCAACCCACCCTAGCTGTGTGTCACAGAATCATAGGAAGGCAAGGGACTTCAAGAGATCTTCTAGCCTAGTCCCCTGCACTCAAGGCAGGACTAAGTATTATCTAGACTATTCCTGACATGAGATGATCCAACCTGCTCTTAAAAATCCCCAATGACAGAGATTCCATAACCTCCCTAGGCAATTTATTCCAGTGCTTAACTACCCTCAGAGTGAGGAAGTTTTTCCTAATGTCAAACTAAACCGCCCTTGTTGCAATTTAAGCCCATTGCATCTTGTTCTATCCTCAAGGTTAAGGAGAATAATTTCTCTCCCTCCTCCTTGTAACAACTTTTATGTACTTGAAAACTGTTATGTGCACCCTCAGTCCTCTCTTTTCCAGACTAAACAAACCCACTTTTTTCAATCTTTCCTCAGAGGCATGTTTTCTAGATCTTTAATCATTTTTATTGCTCTTCTCTAGACTTCCTCCAATTTGTCTACATCTTTCCTGAAATGTGGCACCCAGAACTGGACACAATACTCCAGCTGAGGCCTAATCAGTGCCGAGTAGAGCAGAAGAATTATTTCTTGTGTCTTGCTTACAATACTGCTGCTAATACATCCCAGAAGGATGTTTGCCCCTTTTTTTTTTTTTTGAACAGTGTTACACTGTTGACTCATATTTAGCATGCAATCCAATATGATCCTCAGATCCCTTTCTGCAGTACTCCTTCCTAGGCAGTCATTTCCCATTTTGTATGTGTGCAACTGATTGTTCCTTCCTAAGTGGAGTAGTTTGCATTTGTCCTTATTGAATTTCATCCTATTTACTTCAGACCATTTCACCAGTTTGTCCAAATCATTCTTAGTTTTAATCCTATCCTCCAAAGCACTTGCAACCCCTCCCCAGCTCTGTGCCATTATCTAAATCATTAAGATATTAAATAGATCCGGAAATGATCCCCATGGAACCCCACCTGATATCCTCTTCCAGGTTGTCTGTGGACCACTGATAACTACTCTCTAGGAACCAGGATTTAAATTCTGAAGGATTATTTCCCAGAGACCCCCCCTACCACTTGGGGCTCTTGGCTTCAGCCTCACAGGAGGCGCCAGGACTCCTACAGGTTTAAAAATATTTACTGGAACTCCTCTGGTGGGTTCCAGCTAGGTACAGTTTTCCAACCAGTTATGCACCCACCATATAGTGCTCCATCAAGGTTGTATTTCCCTAGTTTGTGTATGAGAAGGTCATGTGAGATAGTATCAAAAGCCTTACCAAAGTCAAAATATACCACATCTGCCGCTTCCACAAGGCCTGTGTTAAAGAAAGCTACTAGGTTGCTTTGATATAATTTGTTCTTGACAAATCCATGCTGTTACCCAGAAGATAATAAGGTGATAAGTGTCTGCAAATTGATTGCTTAATTATTTGCTCCATTATCTTTCCTGGTACTGAAGTTAAACTGTTAAGTCTGTAATTCCCCGGGTTGTTCTTATTCCCCTCTTTATAGATTAGCAGTATATTTGCTCTTTTCCAGTCCTCTGGAATATCACCCATCTTCCACAGAACTACAAACTAATGGTAGCTTAGGTACCAATGATCAGGACTTGATCACATTTATAATGTGTAAATAAAATAAAGTCTAGACCAGTGTAGAAGGGAGCCACTCTGGCTCGGAAAGGGATAAAAGCTGGCCCTTTTAGAGAGGCAGCCGCAGGTGTGGCCACACCCAATTAGGGTCCAGCTGGCCCTGATAAAAGGGTTGGGAGCTAGGCAGGGGGAGTCTCACTCCAGTGGTGGAGTGGGAAGGACCTGGTTGCTGGCTAGAGAAGGGTATCTCAAACAGAGTAGTGCTGGGGAAGGATAGGCAGAGCTGGGGAGCTCTGGACAGGCAAGTCCGAGGCTGAGGCCAGGCTAAAAGGGCCTATGGTGGTACTGAGGCAGAAGCGGTGCAGCCAGACCAGGAAACGGCAGCAGGTCCAAACACCCTTACCAATAATGAGCAGCCATTTCAGACTACAGTTTGCCTCTGAGAAAAGGGACTAGATGAAGACCTGCAGTCGGTCACTGAGGCAAGGTGGGCTTTGGGGAATTGGGGTTCCCCAGGGAGAGGAGGATCCCTGAGTGTGGGGGCACTGCTGTGGGGCAGTACTCCAGAGAAGGGGCACCGCGGGCCAGGAGGGACACGGGGCCTGGACTCAAGGGTGGTACCTGAAGAAAGGAAGAAGCAGGCAGCAGCAAGGGAGACACTGGCCAGCAGGGGGCGCTCTGAAGCTGGAAGATCTAATTCCTAGACCAACCAGCAGGAGGCGCTGGGCCGGTGAGTGCTCTGCCGTGCTACATATGGTGGAGAATGCAGGTATAATCGGTCACCCCTGATACAAAGGGAAGGAGAAGGACTGGGAATAATTGTCTGGAGGGAACTAGAGATAGGGACGATGGATCCCGGTTATGCGGAGGTGTTCTTTGCACCGTTCCAGGCTGGGCTCCAGAGTCAGGTCCCTGGAGGAACGGGGCAGTCTGACAGCACAAGAGGCTTGAGAGATTTGTGCATGAGGTCAGGGAAACTCAGCAGAGGCATTGTGAGGCGCAGTGAACCCTGCAGGAACAGTTGGGGGAGCTGGCAGAGGAATAGCAGGCCCTGGTAAAATTCCTCAGAAGGGAGTTTCGGAGGAGCTGTGGAGAAGGACGTGAGAAGCCGAGTGCCAGGGCCAGGAGGCCTGTGGCGGAGCACAAGGCTTGCTACGCGGGCGGGCGGCATGGACATTTAAAAAGGGATTGTCCCTATCGGGATGGGGGCAGGGCGCCTCACCCAGAGCAGGGAAAGGGGCAAGTTCCTAAGACAACCCGCCTGGTGAGGAGAACCAGAGGGCGACGGATATGTTGGGCCTGTGGATGAAAAGGACACCTGCAGGGGGAATGCCCAGGCAGGTGGGCCCCAGCAAGAACAAGGTCAGCTCCAAGACTACTACACTGGGCAGCACAGCATGGGGAGGAGGTGACCAGCCCTCTGTGGAGAAAGAAGTGGTTCGGGACAATTTAGAAAAGCTGGACAAGCACAAGTCCATGGGGCCGGATGCGCTGCATCTGAGAGTGCTAAAGGAGTTGGCGGATGTGACTGCAGAGCCATTGGCCATTATCTCTGAAAACTCATGGCGATCGGGGGAAGTCCCGGATGACTGGAAAAAGGCTAATGTAGTGCCCATCTTTAAAAAAGGGAAGGAGGATGATCTTGGGAACTACAGGCCAGTCAGGACTGATCCCCAACTAAATCATCCCAGCCAGGGCTTTGTCAAGCCTGACCTTAAAAACTTCTAAGGAAGGAGATTCCACCACCTCCCTAGGTAACGCATTCCAGTGTTTCACCACCCTCCTAGTGAAAAAGTTTTTCCTAATATCCAACCTAAACTTCCCCCACTGCAACTTGAGACCATTACTCCTTGTTCTGTCACCTGCCACCACTGAGAACAGTCTAGAGCCATCCTCTTTCGAACCCACTTTCAGGTAGTTGAAAGCAGCTATCAAATCCACCCTCATTCTTCTCTTCCGCAGACTAAACAATCCCAGTTCCCTCAGCCTCTCCTCATAAGTCATGTGTTCCAGTCCCCTAATCACTTTTGTTGCCCTCCGCTGGACTCTTTCCAATTTTTCCACATCCTTCTGTAGTGTAAAAAGAAAAGGAGTACTTGTGGCACCTTAGACACTAAGGTGCCACAAGTACTCCTTTTCTTTTTGCGAATACAGACTAACACGGCTGTTACTCTGAAACCTGTCATTCTTGTAGTGTGGGGCCCAAAACTGGACACAGTACTCCAGATGAGGCCTCACCAATGTGGAATAGAGGGGAACGATCATGTCCCTCGATCGGCTGGCAATGCCACTACATATACATCCCAAATGCCATTGGCCTTCTTGGCAACAGGGGCACACTGTTGACTCAGATCCAGCTTCTCGTCCACTGTCACCCCAGGTCCTTTTCTGCAGAACTGCTGCCGAGCCATTCGGTCCCTAGTTTGTAGCGGTGCATGGGATTCTTCCGTCCTAAGTGCAGGACTCTGCACTTGTCCTTGTTGAGCCTCATCAGATTTCTTTTGGCCCAATCCTCCAATTTGTCTATGGCCCTCTGTATCCTATCCCTACCCTCCAGCGTATCTACCTCTCCTCCCAGTTTAGTGTCATCTGCAAACTTGCTGAGGGTGCAATCCACACCATCCTCCAGATCATTTATGAAGATACTGAACAAAACCAGCCCGAGGACCGACCCTTGGTGCACTCCACTTGATACCGGCTGCCAACTAGACATGGAGCCATTGATCGCTACCCGTTGAGCCCGACAATCTAACCAACTTTCTATCCACTTTATCATCCATTCATCCAGCCCATACTTCTTTAACTTGCTGGCAAGAATACTGTGGGAGACCGTGTCAAAAGCTTTGCTAAAGTCAAGGAACAACACGTCCACCGCTTTCCCCTCATCCACAGAGCCAGTTATCTCGTCACAGAAGGCAAATAGATTAGTCAGGCATGACTTGCCCTTGGTGAATCCATGCTGACTGTTCCTGATCACTTTCCTCTCCCCTAAGTGCTTCAGAATTGAAGTGTCCTTCAGCCAATGCAGCCTCACAGCTGTTTGGTCAGAGAACAGACCATTCCCATCAAATGGGAGGTCTTGGATGGAGGTCTGCATCTCCTGGGAGAGTCTGGTGGTTTGAAGCCAGGAGCTGTGCCTCATCACCACTGCGGATACTACCACCTTGGCTGTAGAGTCTGCCGCATCCCACGCCATTTGCAGGGAGCACCGGGTCATTGAAGTGCCTTCCTGCACCAGAGTATCAAACTCTTGGGCCAAGTCCTGCAGAAGGGATTCCTTAAACTTACAGAAGGAGTCCCATAAAGTTGTAACAGCCCAAGAGGGCCTAGTGATTTGCCACCCAAAACTGTAAACTGGCGGTGGAATAAATTTTTCTCCCAAACAAGTCCAGTCATTTGGCCTCTTTATTTTTCGGGGTCGAGCTGGACTGACCCTGCTTTTCCTTTCTGTTGGCCACCAAGACCACCAGTGAGCTGGGGGCGAGGGTGGGTGTACAGATTATCAAAACTTTTGGCTGGTACAAAGTATTTCTTTTCGGCCTGTTTTGAGGTGGGAGGGATGGAGTAAGAGATTTGCCAGGTGGACTTGGCAATTTTGAGGACCCCGTCATGCACCGGTAGTGTGTCGGGGTAGAGGCTGAAATACGGTGTCTGTTGGCTCAGCCATGTCCTCCACTTCCACGCCCAAGTTCTTGGCCGCTCAACGAAGCAGGGCCCAGTGGTCCTTAAAGTCATCCAGCAGACTGGCCCTAGAGGGACCTGCAACCGCCTAGTCTGGGGACGAAGACGAGGACTGCACTGCAGGTGGCGGGCCCTGGTCCTCCTCCTCCACAGGGGAGGGTGTCTTAGGAGTGGTTACAACCTCTTCAGCCTCGGTCTCTGGACATTTTTCCTATACCGAGCCCAGTGCCATTGGTGCCTGCAGCTGCTGCTCCAAGGCAGAGGCCAACAAGTGGAGCGATGGCTGCATAGCCATGACCAGAACTCCCCAGGCGTTCCAACAAGGCCACTGCACAGGCCATTGACCTGGTTGCCACTGCGCTGGTGCTGCGGTCTCGGTCACCCAGTCATAGATTCATACAAGATTAGGGTTGGAAGAGACCTCAGGAGGTCATCTAGTCCAATCCCCTGCTAAAAGCAGGGCCAACACCAACTAAATCATCCCAGCCAGGGCTTTGTCAAGCCAGGCCTTAAAAACCTCTAAGGAAGGAGATTCCACTACCTCCCTAGATAACCCATTCCAGTGTCTCACCACCCTCCTAGTGAAATAGCGTTTCCTAATACCCAACCTAGACCTCCCCCACTGCAACTTGAGACCATTGCTTCTTGTTCCGTCATCTGCCACCCCTGAGAACAGCTGAGCTCCATCCTCTTTGGAATCCCCCCTTCAGGTAGTTGAAAGCTGCTATTAAATCCCCTCCACACACACTCTACTCTTCTGCAGACTAAATAAGCCCAGTTCCCTCAGCCTCTCCTTGTAAGTCATGTGCCCCAGCCCCCTGATCATTTTTGTTGCCCTCCGCTCTCTCCAATTTGTCCACATCCTTTCTGTAGTGTGGGGCCCAAAACTGGACGCAATACTCCAGATGTGGCCTCACCAGTGCCAAATAGGGGGGAATAATCACTTCCCTCGATCTGCTGGCAATGTTCTCACTAATGCAGCCCAGTATGCCAGTTATGCCATTGGGTTCTAGATGAGGGGTTAAACCTTCCCTCAGTACCACAGGAACTGCCTTCCGGAGTCCACGGAGGGGCTGTGGAAACTTGGGTCTGCTTCGAGACCACGGATAATGGTGACTGGTGCCTAGTATGGTACTGGTAGCATGGAGACCAGTGTTGGTACTGGGGAGACCGGGGGTGGGACAGAGAATGCTCCCACAAGTAAGCAACCTGGATCAGCGACAAGACGGTGATCACATAAGTATAAAAACTATTAACTCAGCAATAACAATAGCTATATTGTAGGCTAAAACTCCTGTACCTATGACCTCAGAACCTATTTAGGTCAAGGTATAGTTATCTCAAAACAGGAAGCACTCTCAAATTACTGGCTGACATCTGGGTTCTACCAAGAAAAATTACTGTCTTCCACCCCTGAAACTATGATGCTTACATGTTTTTGTTTAATATCTTCATAAATGATCTGGAGGATGATGTGGATTGCACCCTCAGCAAGTCTGCAGATGACACTAAACTGGGAGGAAAGGTAGATACGCCGAAAGGTAGGGATAGGATACAGAGGGACCTAGACAAATTGGAGGATTGGGCCAAAAGAAATATGTTGAGGTTCAACAAGGACAAGTGCAGAGTCCTGCACTTAGGACGGAAGAATCCCATGCACCGCTACAAACTAGGGACTGAATAGCTCGGCAGCAGTTCTGCAGAAAAGGACCTATGGGTGACAGTGGACGAGAAGCTGGATACGAGTCAGCAGTGTGCCCTTGTTGCCAAGAAGGCAAATGGCATTTTGGGATGAATACGTAGGGGCATTGCCAGCAGATCGAGGGACGTGATCGTTCCCCTCTATTCGGCATTGGTGAGGCCTCATCTGGAATACTGTGTCCAGTTTGGGGCCCCACACTACAAGAAGGATGTTGAAAAATTGGAAAGAGTCCAGCGGAGGGCAACAAAAATGATTAGGGGACTGGAACACATGAGTTATGAGGAGAGGCTGAGGAAACTGGGGATGTGTAGTCTACAGAAGAGAAGAATGAGGGGGGATTTGATAGCTGCTTTCAACTACCTGAAAGGGGGTTCCAAAGAGGATGGCTCTAGACTGTTCTCAGTGGTAGCAGGTGACAGAACAAGGAGTAATGGTCTCAAGTTGCAGTGGGGGAGATTTAGGTTGGATATTAGGAAAAACTTTTTCACTAGGAGGGTGGTGAAACACTGGAATGCGTTACCTAGGGAGGTGATGGAATCTCCTTCCTTAGAAGTTTTTAAGGTCAGGCTTGACAAAGCCCTGGCTGGGATGATTTAATTAGGGATTGGTCCTGCTTTGAGCAGGGGGTTGGACTAGATGACCTCCTGAGGTCCCTTCCAACCCTGATATTCTATGTTGAATTTCCCACAATGAGATATGAAAAAACACATCGGTCTTTGTGGAGTTTCTACCTAACCCCTGTCAGCTAGGGGTTGGCTAATTTATCTCTATTTTTTATCCAGTCTAATGTAACTGTGGATATTCTTGTACACATGTCTATAATCCTTTATTAATCTTAAACATTTGGCCTCAATCTTGTGGCAACGAGTTCCATAAGCTAAATATGAGCTAGTAAAAAAATACTTCTAATCAGTTTAAATGTATTGCCTTTCAATTTCATTGATGTCCCCTTGCTCTTGCATCTCTGTCAACCATGCTTCCTCTGTTCCTATTTGATGGAAACCCACAGTTCAGATGAAAGATATAAGGTTTTTTGTCCAGAAGAATAGGCAATTCATGTAGAAATAGCAATAGGGCACACATAAGGCATGCAAAGGGAAGCAGGCAGGTAAGTGGCTTGCAGAGATCACAGCTAACCCTCTGAGGGCATCCACACTATGAAGAACCAGGCCAGACTCTGGCTCCCACAGAGTAGCCATATTCCTGTTGGAGTGTTTCTAATAGCAGGCACTGTGCCTCTAGGGTCAGAGTATTCAGAGAGAAAAGAGGTCATTTAAAAAGTGGATCATGAATAGCAGGAGACATCAGGAACTTAATTGCTCTCCAAAAGCAAGAATACTACAATCACAGGAACCTACCCCGAGAGGAAAGGGAACCTAGCAGCTCATTGGCGTATTCCAACATCTCTTAGCACCCAGATTCTCAGTACATGCTAGAGCTTTTCCTAAAACCATATCTTTCCCACCTTCCTGTGATGCAGCTGCTCTTCTGGCAGGCTTTTTGCAGGCAACACTGACCCCTGCTCTGTCAGCTCCTCAATGCGTTTATTCAGAGCTGCCAGCTTGGCTTTGGCCTGCAGCTTCAGCTTCTTCAACTTAGCATCTGCAGCCTCCCTCTCCTCCTGTGGAAGAAAAGATGCAAAGACTGTACTCAAGGTTCTATTGCACCATCCACAGGAAATTAATTTGCCCTGAAGCCGCCAGCTTGCAGTGTTAGGAATGTCAAACAGAATTAAGTGTCTCCACATCAGAAAGGAGACCCCAAAGAAGCCAGAGACTGAACTCCACAGAAAACAGTAGTAGCAGCATCTCAGGGTATGTCTACATTGCAATTTAATGCCTTTTTGGCCCTTGCCAGCTGACTCCAGCTCACAGGGCTCAGGCTAAGGGGCTGGTTAATTGCGGTGTAGACATTTGGGCTTCCAGTGGAGCCCGGGCTCTAGGACCCTGCAACGTGGAAGTGTCCCAGAGCCCAAGCTCCAGCCAGAGCCCAAATGTCCACACTGTAATTAACTAGCCCCTTAGCCCAAGCCCCGTGAGTCCAAGTCAGCTGGTACGGGCCAGACCCGGATGTCAAATTGCAGTGTAGACATACCTTCAGCCTTACTCCCAGACCCCTTGTGGAAGGAATGGTACCTTGAGTTCAACTTCTTTCTGCTGGAGCTGGGCATCCTTCTCTCGGACCAAATCCTTCAGCTGGACAGCCAGCTGCTCTGTGTGGGCCAGACGCTCCAGTATACCTTTGGGCATCTCCTCCCTGCTCTCCATTCCTGGCTCCGACACCTAGAGAAGGTCAAACAGACACTCTGGAAAAAGTACCTCACTAAAACTAATTCCAAGACCACAGCATAGTGCCCAGAGGGAGACCCGCAACTCTGTTTTTATGTGTTACAGCCTAGCCTAAATGCAGCTCCTCACAAACTTTCCACTTAGTCTAATGAACTAGACTTCGCCAGCTGAAATCAGGAGGAAAGTTCCAGATACTCTCAAAGAATATTAAAAGGAGCATCTCTGCTGTAACAGGACATCAGCAAACTTGAAAGACTTTACACAGCAGAGATACCACTGCTCCCTAAGCCATCCACTGCCCCTACGCCATCCACTGCCCCTACAGCCAGAGTGCAACATGAGAGCAGGTCCCCATGTGATTCAGTAGTCCCATTCCTCTTATGGAGGATGGTCAGCTCTCCAAAACTCTTCCAGAAACCCCTAGCTCACTTCAACTCTAGCTCCTTTCCCAGCTCTCAAGTTGATCTCATAGGCTGAAGAGATCATACGGTTCTGCACTGCAGCAGCACTGACTGAAAGGAAGATGCCATAAATGCAAAGCGAGTGGCAGAGGTGAGGGCCACAAGTTGGGTGAGGTGCAAGGTGACAGGAATCAGGAGACAGTTATTCACAACACTCTAGTGCCTCGGACACCCTGAACCAGCTCTGAGCAGCAACAATGATAGTTCTGGAATGAGAGAGCATACTCACAGTGGCAGAGGACTCAACTTGTGCATCACTTCCATCCCCCGACAGCTCCTGCAGAACAGTGTTTGCTAACCCTGATAAGCGGCTCAGCATCTCAGGCCTGCAGCAAAACAACATAAAAAGAAAGACTTTAGGTAAGGGGCAAAAGAACGAGGGAAAGGAAGTGCATCTCCCTACTGATCTCCAGTACCATGCAACAACGAACATTTCTTCCCTACTGATAAAGCAGATGCCAAAGTAAACCCCAAGAAGTAAATAACTTTTATGCTGTGGCTAAGAGGGGTAATTCAGACCCTGGCTGTATAAGCAGGGGAATACAGAGTAGGAGTAGGGAGGTATTCTTTCCAATGTATAAGTGAGACAAAAAATGAACTACAAGAATGATGCAATATCTGAAAAACCTGACTTACAGGAGAGACTAAAGAAGTGCAGAGTATGCCCATACTACAAGTGCTTCAGCTGCAGCACTGCTAGCTACAGTGATCCACACATTCACGACCTCCAGGCTTGTGACCTACAGGAACGAAGCCATATACCCTGCAAAAACTTCCACCTAGCACTAATATAGCAGCATACGCATTTAGTGACTGAAGTTGTTGAGAAAACATTACCGCAGTGCTCTGATCTTTACACGGACGCCTCCAGTAGGAACGGGTTAGTATCCCTATTCTCAGAGTGGCGAAATGACCGTGCTTCACTCTTCTAGCCTATAGAATATCCAGACCTTGCAACCATCTGTCTTTGAATAGGAAAAATGTCATGTGCATCATACTTTGGTTACAGGGCACGTTAGGCCAGCTTTCCTCACTATGTGTGAAGTGGGGGCCACTTTGGCAAAAACCTTCAATGTGAGAGCCACATGGGATGGGGCTGAAGGTTTGGCGCATTGAGAGGTGGCCCAGAGTAGGGCAGAGGGTGGAGCGCAGGGGTGAGGGCTCTAGGGTGGAGCTGTGGATGACAGGTTTGGGGTGCGGGATGTGGGGATGAGGGCCGCGGGGGTGAGGGCCGGGGATGAGGGGTTCAATGTGCAGGAGGGGGCTCAGGGCTGGGGCAGAGGGTTGGGATGTGGGAGAGAGAGGAAGACTCTGGCTGGGGGCGCAGGATCTGGGGTGGGGCCAGGGATGAGGAGTTTGGGGTAAAGGCAGGCTGCCCCGGGGCTGGGGCCAGAGGACTCCCCCCAACCCTCTCCCTGCTGGCAGGCAGCACGGGAGCTCTGGAGCCGGGGGAGAGGCCCACACCAGCCCTGCAAGCCCCAACTTACTCCCCTCCCCAGTTCCCACCCACCTCCTCTCTCCTCTCCAGATTACAAACAGGCATTATGGGGTCACAACCCCCTTGCTCTTCCCATACTGCTAAACTGGAGGGGAGCCCCAGGAAGTGGTGGCTGCAGTATGGATAAGGTTGAGACTGCTTCATTAGGCATCCACTGTAACAGGAGAAACATTATGGTAGGGCATATATTTGGGTGCTACAGACACAAAGACCTGGGATCGAACTCAGGTCTAGGCAAGTTTAAAGTCTTTTGAGTTCACTTTTAAAATATATTTAAATTCTCCCTGAAATCTCAGTACTTCTGTGACACCTACAAGTGAGTCCGTAATATTCACAATAGTCACTTACTCTTGATCTTTTTCAGTAATAAAAAAAATGTACCTAGATGTCCCAACAAAGATCAGGGCCCTGTGGCACTAAGTGCAATGCAAACACATAGCAAAGCCAATAATTAACCCCAAATAGCTTTCAATCTAAAAAGGCAAAGTAGACAAATGGTGGAACAAAGGAAATATCTGTTATTCCCATGTAACATATGAAGAACTGAGACACAGGGACCAAGTGCCTTGCCCAAGGTCACATAGGGAGTTTGCAGCTGAGCCAGGAACTGAACTTAGATTTCCAGAACCTCAGTCTAGTGCCTTAACCAGTATGAATGAATGAATATTTAACTAAAACTACTACTATGTGCCTAAATTAAGGTTATGTCTACACTTAAAATGCTGCACTGCACCACTGTAGCACTTCAGTGTAGACACTCACTATAGCGATGGGAAGGGTTCTCCACCTCCCCAAAAGGCAGTAGTTAGGATGACAGAAGAATTCTTCTATTAACCTAACGCTGTCTACACTGGGGGTTATGTCAGCATAGCTATGTCTCTTATGAGTGTGGATTTCACACCCCTAAGAGCAGAGCTATGTTGATGTATGTTTTCAGCACAGACCAGCCCTGAGTCACAGTATAATTATGTTGGTATAATACCCGTCGTCCTCCTCCCACTGGTAGGCTCCTCACTTGCTTTATCCCAGTTTACATTTAGACTATCAGTTGTTTGGGGCAGGCGCAAGGGCAGTCTCTCCCTAGGTTTACCGTAAACTGCTCAGCATACTTCTGGGTACTTTATTATAATGAACAACATTCATTTGAGAGATTCTTGTGGATGATGAGGTATTTCTTGTTGTTTAAACTGATCATCTTCCAGGATGGCAGATTTTAGAGTTCTCTGCTGCACTCTGTGGCAGAGAGCACATATAAGAGAAGCATTCCTTTGAGATCATTGGCCAAATTCTCCACTGGTATAATCAAGTCAATGTCAACATTTATGTCAACCATTAATTTAGATCCATACCTTCAAAGTAGATAACCGTGCCACAGAAACAGATGGCCACTGCAAAGAGGAAACATTTCTATCACCTAAAGTCTTCTGTTAATGTAGGGGTGAAGGAAAGGAGCAACTCACATGGTTTCTTATTATTGTCACATTGTTACTGTATCAAAAGGCCTGATAATGCAGTTCTGGAAATACTTACTGAGTAAAGTGACCGTATTTTCAAAATAAATAAAAGGGACACTTATGGTAACATTTTTAGGGGGTTGAAATATACAAAAGACAAAGTAAATTTAAAAAAAAATTCTTATGGTGTCACTACTGCCAGCTTCTTAGTCAGCGATAAAGGCATGTGTCTTGGACTGGAGGATTTTAACATGGGATAAAATTTTCAAACGTGCTTAAGTAACTTAAGACCTAAATCCAATGGGACCAAACATTTTTCTTCACTCCAAACATTGTTCAAACTGAACACTCCTTTCACTGGACTATTTTTCCTCTGACAAACACTCAGCAAATTCTACTCAGTGCAGCAATTCATTTTTATCAATGAACCCTAACAATGGAATTGGTTCATTACTAGATGAAAATTGCAGTGTGACAGTGCATCCCATATTCTTCATAGAAATATTATTATATGATTATGGCATAACTATGATGTATTTTATATAGGATAGGTCATGTGAGATATCATTGAAAAGGTTATGATTTACTGAATATTATTATCCTATTTGTATGCATGTACCATTTTTGTATCTGAAGTTAGGAATGCTGACTGTGTATCTGTATTTCATGTAGTTACTCCAGGGCAACGCCCACTAGGCAAAAGCCTGTCAGTCTAGATAGCTGGCTGGGAAGGGCCCATTCAAGTCAATGGACCATTAGGGAGAACAATAAGTCTTAGAAGAAGAAAAGAAGTACGTGTGGCACCTTAGAGACTAACAAATTTATTTCAGCATAAGCTTTCGTGAGCTACATCCGATGAAGTGAGCTGTAGCTCACGAAAGCTTATGCTCAAATAAATTTATTAGTTTCTAAGGTGCCACAAATACTCCTTTTCTTTTTGGGGATACAGACTAACACGGCTGCTACTCTGAAACCTGTCTTAGAAGAAGCTAATCTCCCACCGGGGAGCCTTCCTGAGGATGCTACAAACAACCTCCAAGTCATGGCTGCTATGAGACTACAGATCACCCAGTACTGGACTCCAGTACTTGGAATACCAGTGTTTTTCCACTGAAAGGTGTGGGAACCAAGGTTGGAGACAAAGGGTTCTCGCCATAAGCAAACGCTATTTAAGGCAGGCAGTGACATCATCGTGGGTCTTCACTGCCTCCCCGTCCAAAGGAGACTCTTGAAAACATCTGAGGAACAAGGACTGGACTGGACTGGACTGGACGGGGGGGGGGGGGGGAGAGAGGGAGTGCAGGACCCAGGTTAAAAGGAAATTTTAGCCTGTGAAAGGAACACCTGAGGTTTTTAAGCTGCAAGCTGAACTTGCTTGCCTCTTAAGAGCCTGCAGCCTGCTTGAATCAACAATTAGGGTGAGACTTTGCTACTTATATCCAATCTCTTTCGTATATTAAGCTTAGATTGCATTTTTGTTTATTTGCGAGGTAATCTGCTATTACTTATAATCACTTAAAATCTATCTTTTGTAGTTAATTTTTTTGTTTTATCACAAACCAGTGTGTGGGAGTCATAACTTGGGACAAAAAGCTGTTGTATATGCCCTCTCCACATTGAGGGAGGGGGCAAATTTCATGAGCTTATGCTGTACATATCTCTGTGCAGTGCAAGACAGTATAATTTTGGGTTTACACCCCAGAAGGGTGTGCTCTTGAGCAGCTGGGCAATTCCTTAGTCCCATGCAGAGCTGATCACAGCAGCCTGTAAGTACAGCAGCTGGGTGTGTCCCCTACCTGTGTGAATGCTAGTGAAAGAGCAAGCTTGGAGAACGTGGCAATTTATCACAGCAGCGCAGGGTGAGAGGGACCCCAGGCTGGTGGGTCGGGGGGCTCAGTGGTACCCCAGTTCCAGGTGGCACCCATCACAGGTAACATTGTCAATAGTACTGCAAAAAAGGCACAAGTGTTCAATATATATTTCTGCTTGGTATCTGCGGAAAAATATGTAATCATATATGATGCAGAAACACTTTCTATTCCAATAATAACTTGGGAAGATGTTAAACAGCAGCTACTAAAGCTAGACATTTTTAGATCTGCAGGTCCAGATAACTAGCATCCAAGAATTTTTAAAAAGCTGGCCGAGGTGCTATATTTTCAATAACACTTGGAACGCAGGGGAAGTTTTAGAAGACTGGAAGAAAACTAGAGACGCTCCAATAGTTAAAGAGGCTAAACAGGATGACCTGAGTGATTGATTATATGTCTGTAAGCCGGACATCAATCCCAGACAAAATAATGGAACAGCTAATACAAGACTCGATTACATAAGAATTAAAGGAGTGTTATATAATTAATGCCAATCATCACAGGTTTATGGAAAATAGATGCTGTCAAACTTGAGTTTTTTTTCTATGAGATTACAAGTTTGGTTGATAAAAGGTAGAGTGTTGATATAACACTTAGACTTCAGTAAGACTGACATGGTACTGCTTGATATTTCTATGAAGAAACTAAAACCATACAAAATTAACATGGCTTATATTATACATATTACAGACTGGCTGACATGTCCCCAAATGTAACTGTAAATGGGGAATCATCAATGAGAGAGTGTGTTTCTAGTGTGGTCCCGCATGGATTGATTCTTGGCCCTACACCAGAGCCGTAACCAGGGCAGGGTGAGTAGGACAGTCGCCCAAGACGCAAAGGCTCGGAGGTGGGAAAATGATGAAAACATGGCAGGGGGTGCAAATATGCTTGCTCGCCCTGGGCACTAAAATGCTTAGAAGGGCTCTGCCCTTCACTATTTAACATTTCGATCAGTGACCTGGAAGAAAACAAAGTCATCACTGATAAAGTTTGCAGAGGACACAAAGATTGATGGAGTGGTAAATAAAGAAGAGGACAGGTTGCTGATACAGACCAGTGCAGATCACTTGGTAAACAATGTAAGTTTTAATAACAGCCAAAAGTAAATGTATTCATCTAGGAAAAAAGAAAGTAGGCTATACTTACAGGATGAGTGACTCTAACCTGGGAATCAGTAGCTCTGAAAAAGATTTGGGGGTCCTGGTGAATCATCAGCTGAACATGAGTTCCCAGTGCAATGCTGTGGCCAAAACATGAGAGTTATCAGATAGCTGCATTACCTGCTATTAAATCTCTTTGACAGAAGACTGATATTCTTGTTTCATGACTGTGATAACTTGGAAACCACAAACCAAGAGAAATCTCATGGCTGGTGAATCTTGCCCACATGCTCAGGGTTCAGCTGATTGCCATATTTGTGGTACGGAGGGAATTTTCCTCTGGGGCAGATTGGAAGAGGCCCTGGGGGGTTTTCACCTTCCTCTGTAGCATGGGGCATGGGTCACTTGCTGGAGGATTCTCTTTAAACCATGATTTGAGGACTTCAATAGCTCAGACATAGGTGAGAGGTTTATTGCAGGAGTGGGTGGGTAAGATTCTGTGGCCTGCATTGTGCAGGAGGTCAGACTAGATGATCATAATGGTCCCTTCTGACCTTAATATCTATGAGAACTTTTTTTACAAAATAGAATTAAGCTGCTTTGAGAATGTCTGTGGTTCTGGAAAGATTTAGCAAGCAGAGAACTGAGATACTGGAGAGCAATATGGAGGGTGGGACGAAGCATTTAGGTACCATATTTGAAAGGAAAGGAAATACTTGAGATGATAGAACACCTTTGGTATTCCAGTAGAATACAATCATAGAAGATTAGGGTTGGAAGAGACCTCAGGAGGTCATCTAGTCCAAACCCCTGCTTAAAGCAGGACCAACCCCAACTAAATCATCCCAGCCAGGGCTTTCTCAAGCTGGGCCTTAAAAACCTCTAAGGATGGAGATTCCACCACCTCCCTAGGTAATCCATTCCAGCCCTTCACCACCCTCCTAGTGCAATAGTTTTTCCCAATACCCAACCTAGACCTCTCCCGCTGCAACTTGAGCCCATTGCTTCTTGTTCTGTCCTCTGCCACCACTGAGAACAGCCAAGCTCCATCCTCTTTGGAACCCCCCTTCAGGTAGTGGAAGGCTGCTATCAAATCCCCACACATACACTCTTCTCTTCTGCAGACTAAATAAGCCCAGTTCCCTCAGCCTCTCCTCATAAGTCATGTGCCCCAGACCCCAAATCATTTTTGTTGCCCTCCACTAGACTCTCTCCAATTTGTCCACATCCTTTCTGTAGTGGGGGGCCCCAAAACTGGACACAATACTCCAGATGTGGCCTCACCAGTGCCAAATAGAGGGGAATAATCACTTCCCTCGATCTGCTGGCAATGCTCCTGCTAATGCAGCCCAATATGTTGTTAGCCTTCTTGGCAACAAGGGCACACATCCAGCTTCTAACCCACTGTAATCCCCAGGTCCTTTTCTGCAGAACTGCCGCTTAGCCAGTTGGTCCCCAGCCTGTAGCAGTGCATGGGATTCTTCTGTCCTAGGTGCAGGACTCTGCACTTGTCCTTGTTGAACCTCATCAGATTTCTTTTGGTCCAAACCTCCAATTTGTCTAGATCACTCTGAACCCTATCCCTACCCTCCAGCTTATCTTCCGCTCCCCGCAGCTTAGTATCATGCACCCTCAGCAAGCTGGTGGAATCCATCCCATCATCCAGATCTATTAATGAAGATTTTGAACAAAACCCGCTCCAGGACCAACCCCTGGGGCACTCCACTTGATACCGGCTGCCAACTAGACATCGAGCCGTTGATCACTACCCATTGAGCCTGACGATCTAGCCAGGTTTCTATCCACCTTATAGTCATAGAATCATAGAATATCAGGGTTAGAAGGGACCCCTGAAGGTCATCTAGTCCAACCCCCTGCTCGAAGCAGGACTAATTCCCAGTTAAATCATCCCAGCCAGGGCTTTGTCAAGCCTGACCTTAAAAACCTCTAAGGAAGGAGATTCTACCACCTCCCTAGGTAACGCATTCCAGTGTTTCACCACCCTCTTAGTGAAAAAGTTTTTCCTAATATCCAATCTAAACCTCTCCCACTGCAACTTGAGACCATTACTCCTCGTTCTGTCATCTGCTACCATTGAGAACAGTCTAGAGCCATCCTCTTTGGAACCCCCTTTCAGGTAGATGAAAGCAGCTATCAAATCCCCCCTCATTCTTCTCTTCTGCAGGCTAAACAATCCCAGCTCCCTCAGCCTCTCCTCATAACTCATGTGTTCCAGACCCCTAATCATTTTTGTTGCCCTTCGCTGGACTCTCTCCAATTTATCCACATCCTTCTTGAAGTGTGGGGCCCAAAACTGGACACAGTACTCCAGATGAGGCCTCACCAATGTCGAATAGAGGGGAACGATCACGTCCCTCGATCTGCTCGCTATGCCCCTACTTATACATCCCAAAATGCCATTGGCCTTCTTGGCAACAAGGGCACACTGCTGACTCATATCCAGCTTCTCGTCCACTGTCACCCCTAGGTCCTTTTCCGCAGAACTGCTACCTAGCCATTCGGTCCCTAGTCTGTAGCTGTGCATTGGGTTCTTCCGTCCTAAGTGCAGGACCCTGCACTTATCCTTATTGAACCTCATCAGATTTCTTTTGGCCCAATCCTCCAATTTGTCTAGGTCCTTCTGTATCCTATCCCTCCCCTCCAGCGTATCTACCACTCCTCCCAGTTTAGTATCATCCGCAAATTTGCTGAGAGTGCAATCCACACCAGTCTCCAGATCATTTATGAAGATATTGAACAAAACCGGCCCCAGGACCGACCCTTGGGGCACTCCACTTGATACCGGCTGCCAACTAGACATGGAGCCATTGATAACTACCCGTTGAGCCCGACAATCTAGCCAGCTTTCTACCCACCTTATAGTGCATTCATCCAGCCCATACTTCCTGAACTTGCTGACAAGAATACTGTGGGAGACCGTGTCAAAAGCTTTGCTAAAGTCAAGAAACAATACATCCACTGCTTTCCCTTCATCCACAGAACCAGTAATCTCATCATAAAAGGCGATTAGATTAGTCAGGCATGACCTTCCCTTGGTGAATCCATGCTGGCTGTTCCTGATCACTTTCCTCTCATGCAAGTGCTTCAGGATTGATTCTTTGAGGACCTGCTCCATGATTTTTCCAGGGACTGAGGTGAGGCTGACTGGCCTGTAGTTCCCAGGATCCTCCTTCTTCTCTTTTTTAAAGATTGGCACTACATTAGCCTTTTTCCAGGCATCCGGGACTTCCCCCGTTCGCCACGAGTTTTCAAAGATAATGGCCAATGGCTCTGCAATCACAGCCGCCAATTCCTTCAGCACTCTCGGATGCAACTCGTCCGGCCCCATGGACTTGTGCACGTCCAGCTTTTCTAAATAGTCCCTAACCACCTCTATCTCCACAGAGGGCTAGCCATCTCTTCCCCATTTTGTGATGCCCAGCGCAGCAGTCTGGAAGCTGACCTTGTTAGTGAAAACAGAGGCAAAAAAAGCATTGAGTACATTAGCTTTTTCCACATCCTCTGTCACTAGGTTGCCTCCCTCATTCAGTAAGGGGCCCACACTTTCCTTGGCTTTCTTCTTGTTGCCAACATACCTGAAGAAACCCTTCTTGTTACTCCATTAATCCAATCATACTTTTTAAAGTTGCTGGCAAGAATACTGTGGGAGACTATATCAAAAGCTTTGCTAAAGTCAAGATATAGCATGTCCACTGCTCTCCCCATATCCACAGAGCTAGTTATCTCATCATAGAAGGCAATCAGGTTGGTCAGGCATGACTTGCCCTTGGTGAATCCATGTTGACTGTTCCTGATCACCTTCTTCTCCTCCAAGTGCTTCAAAAATAGAGTGTAGTGTTTTAATTTAACCTGTTAAATAGAAGAAGGGAATGGAAAGAACAGGAACTCTCACACACACTTTCAAAGTGGAAGTTACTGAGAACTTAAGGAGGTGGGTAAGTTTTGAGTTAGATTCACAGAAAAAGTAACAATCATTGCTTAATAAATTGATAGCTGGAAGAAATTCAGCTACAATGCCCTCACATGCACTGGATTTGGTGCATATTTTTAATGGAGGGCAAGTTGCTAGTTTATCTCAAATGCATAGTAGTTAGGCCTTTGCTTGAGATTACTGGTATTACAGAAGCACCTAGAGGCCTCAATATGCAAGATGCTGCACAGATGTGAAGTAGAAGGATTTGCACAAAAACTAAGTTTATTATCTAGGTTTAAGGCAAGACACAATAGGTGGATGATACAAACAGACTGAAGGCAGGAAGGAGAAGGAAGGAAGATAGGGCAACTGTGAAACAATCAAGTTACAGTTTCTTAGATTCATAGATTCCAAGGCCAAAAGGGACCATTGTGATCGTCTTGTCAGACTTCCTGCATAACACAGGCCAGAGAACTTCCCCAAAATATTTGCTAGGGCATGTGTTTTAGACAAACATCCAATTATAATTTTTAAATTGTCAGTGATGGATAATCCACTCCAACTCTTGGTAAATTGTTCCAATGGTTAATTACTCTCATCATTAAAAATTTACACCTTATTTCCAGTCTCAGTGTGTCTAGCTTCAACTTCCAGCTATAGGATCATGTTATACCATTCTCTGCTAAACTGAAGACCCCATTATTAAATATTTGTTGCCCAAGTAGACACTTACAGACTATAAGCAAGTTACCCCTTAATCTTCTCTTTGTTAAGCTAAACAGATTGAGCTCTTTGAATCTATCACTATAAGGCATGTTTTCTAATCCTTTAAACATTTTTGTGGCTCTTCTCTAACCCCTCTCCTATATATCAACATCCTTCTTGAATTGTGGGCACCAGAACTGCACACAGCATTCCAGCAGTTATGCCAGTGCCAAATACAGAGGTAAAATAACCGCTCTATACTCCTACTAAAGAGTCTCCTGTTTATGCATCTGAGGATTGCATTAGCCCTTTTGACCACAACATTGCAGTGCGAGGTCATATTCAGTTGATTATCCACCATGACACCATAATGTTTTTCAGCCACTGCTTTCCAGGAGAGAGTCCCCCATCCTGTAAGTGTGGCCTACATTCTGTTCTTGTATCAGATATCAGAGGGCTAGCCGTGTTAGTCTGGATCTGTAAAAGCAGCAAAGAGTCCTGTGGCACCTTATAGACTAACAGACGTATTGGAGCATAAGCTTATACATTTGTTAGTCTATAAGTGTAAGTGTAAATCTATAGGGTGCCACAGGACTCTTTGCCATTCTGTTCTTAGATGTACACATTTACATTTAGCTGTATTAAAACGCATATTGTTTGCTTACTTCCAGTTTTCCAAGCAAGCTAGATCGCGTTGAATCAGTCCTCTTCATTATTTACCACTCCCCTAATTTGTGTCATCTGCAAACTTTTAATCAGAGATGATTTTATGTTTTCTTCCAACTCACTGATAAAAATGTTTAAAAGCACAAGGCCAAGAACCGATCCACATGAGACCCCACTCAGAACACACCTGCTTGATAATAATTCTCCATCTACAATTACATTTTGAGACCTATCAGTTAGTCAGTTTTTAATCCATTTAATGTGTGCCATGTTAATTTTATCATTCTATTTTTTTCTAATCAAAATATTGTGCAGTATCAAGTCAAGGTTGAACAGTAGTTGCAGCTCACCATCTACCTAGCCAGTGTGATCTCATGATTGCCCTGTCAATAACATGCTCTTTTTGGGTAAGATTATGAGAAGTGATGGGAAGGTAACTCTTACATTATCTGGAGCCCTCAGATTTCCTTGACCTGCCTCAATACAAAGTCCAGCTTAGGTTCAATATTGAAACTGCACTTGTCCCACTGGCTGAAATTCTCCTCTTATGATGGGCAAAGGTTAGGTGTCCCCAATAAGCCTGCAAGGCCCATAGGTAGTCTTTGATATGTTGAAAGCTGATACCAGGGCGCTGTGTGGAATCCAGTAGGATTTCAGGCTAAGAACTGATTTAACAATATGAGAGCAGATGCCTTTGAGGATTAGATTGTTGAGAAGAGTTTTTCATATTACTTCCTTCTTCCTATCAGCATCGCCTCACATCTTTTGTCCGGGTTCAACATTTCAGGCTTTATCATTTCAAAGGAAGGCAGCATGCACTTTGGGGGGGGGGGGGGGGAGAAGAGGGTAACTACATTCTTGTAAATGATAGGTGCAAAGCTGATCCCTGTGTCTGGGGTTGGTGAGTGCAGCAAATGGTGAACGATCAGAAAAGACCCCAAAAAAATTCTTCCTCTGGAACTAAATTGTCTGAATTGCTTCTAATTAGAGCACTTGCAGCTTCAACTGAACAAACACAGCAGGAGATTTTAGTTAGATTAAATTCAACTGTACTGGAATTATAGTAATTTCAAAATGCAATTTGGATGCTAGAAAATCTCTCTCTAAACTCTGAGGTCAAAGGTTCTCAGACTTTATCATAGCAGGTACCACAGTTTAATAGACTACTTGTGACTCAACACTTCCCTTCCCATTCACGATTTTATAACATCTACAGCAATTGTTTACACAGTGACAGTAAAAAAAAAAAGTGTGACTTAAAAGTGGGGTTTAGATTAGCTTTTTTCCAATAAAAGCAAAAAAAATTTCCTACATTTGCTCTTCCTTTCAATCCTCATGACCTATGCCAAACTTTGCTACTCTTTCTTTCTTACTCTTTCCCCCCACACCGTTCAAACACTTTTCCTTGCTACTCAGTTCCCTTCCCCCTTGCAGACGGTCAGTTTGTGTCGCTGAAAGCCGCTGGTTTCTTCTCCTAGGTAGCAGTGAGCCCGCGGCTCCTCCTCTCCAGCTACCTTTTTACACGCCTCCAGGCTCTTCCCTGCCGCGAAGCGAGAAGCAGCAGCGCCCCGAGATCAGGCAGCGCCCTGCGGAGGCTCAGAGAACCGGAAACACGGAGAGACGGAACAAAGGTCATTATTTCAGCAGTGACCCAAAGCTGCTTGGGGAAATGGTTCCTATTGGGCAGAGCCCCCCCCTCGGCCGGCCGGCGGGGGCCCGGGGCAGAGCCCCCCCCTCGGCCGGCCGGCGGGGGCCCGGGGCAGGCTCCTCTCACTGGCGGTCCGTGCAGGCCTCGGGGCCCGCCTGAGGTCGGACTCTGCTCAGGGCCCCACCCGCCCTTACCCCGAGCCCAGCCCCCGCTCACCTGCGCCGGGAGCCCGGTCTCCCCCGCGTTCACCCAACTCCGGTAGCGCCCCCGGTTCCGACCTTAGCTGCCAAGCGCCGCCCCCAGCCACATCAGCACCGGAACACACCACAGCGACTTCCGGCTTCACCTCCCCTCCCGCCTCCGAATTGGACTAGCCGGTCACCCGCGCGGAGCGACGGACACAGCCACCTGCCAATCACAATGAGGAGTTTGAGACGTTGCTAGGGTTACAGTCACACAAGGCATGAAATCGCCAATCACAAGAGGGATTGAGGGGATCCGCCCAATAACAACAGAACAGCCAATCAGCAGACATAGCTGCTTCGGTGTGACAGTCGGCCTGGCCGCGGGAGGTGCTAAGCTGCAGCCGCGGGGAGAGGGAGGTCTGTGTGGCTGGGCCCTGCCACAGGTCTCCCATGGGCTCGGAGCTGAGTGCCACTTACCACCCCTGCCCGCCACGCCCCGCACCCCGGCGCAGGTGACGCTACCAACAAGCCGGTTCTGGAGCCCAGCCGCTGGCAGGGGCGGACCGCAGGCGCAGGACACCAGCCTGGTGCTGGGACCGTCGTGGTGCGGCCGGACGACACCAGAAGGCCAAAGCAGAGTTGCTGCAGGGTGAACTGACGGTAGCCAAGTGCCAGGGGGCCCGAAAAACACCCAGACTCGTCAAGTACACACTGAAGCACAACTTGACCTAGTGCAGCTTTGCTGTTGGGAGTCAGCAGCAGCGGGTCATGCTGGCAAGCGCCGTCAACAGTCCAGTCACTCGGTTCGCGGTGAATCACCATATGGATCTTGAGGCACAAAGGCTGAGTCGTAAACACCAGACGGTTCAGTGGGCACAGACTAATTCCTTCCTTAATATCGAGCTACGTATGCATTCAGTTAGGAAAGGACTGCCATTCGTCCATTGGCCTTTTTACCCACACACTCACAAGATGTAATACTGTTGTCAGTGTCCTCTTTGGTCCCGAAAGACAACAACATAAGGCTGAAAGCCAGTCAGTGCATAGAGCCTGGCACATCTTCCAGAGAGTAAAGACAGCACTACAAACTGTTACTATTGGAAGGTTTGGGACTGCGGGGACCTCATGGGGTCTATAGGGCTGGATTAGTGGGGAAAAAGGGAGGGACAGAGTGAATCAGTGAGGAGGCTAGAGGGGCAGCTAGTGAAGGGCAGGCTCAATAGAGGGGAGTCACCAGAGGGTTTCCCTTCATAAATTCTCAGAAATGTAGGACTGGAAGGGACCTTCAGAAGTCATCAAGTCCAGCCCCCTGCACTGAGGCAGGACCAAGTAAAACTGTCCAATCTGTTCCTAAAATACTCCAATTACATGGATTCCACAACCTCCCTAGGAAGCTTGTTCCACTACTTAACTATCTTTATAGTTAGAAAGATTTTCCTAGTAGCGAACATAAATCTTTCTTGCTGCAGATTAAGCCAGTGATGTTCAGTGGACAACCCTTGGGCCAAATGTGGCCTGCCAAGGCTTCGTGGGTGGCCTGCCAGCTTGCCTTAAAAAATAATGTTTATAATTAAATTCATCGCCTGGGGCTAACAGCCCAAGCCCCAGCACCCAGGGCTGAAATCGAAGAAAGGGTGCCATAATACAAGTTCGGGTAGTGATCAATGCCTCAATATCTAGTTGGCAGCTGGTTTCAAGTGGAGTGCCCCAGGGGTTGGTGCCATTTTTTAAAGGCCAACCCTAGATTCTCACAAACAAACCAAGGAAATACAACCTAGATGGAGCTTCTATAAGGTGGGTGCAAAACTGGTTGGAAAATTGTTCCCAGAGAGTAGCTATCAGTGGTTCACAGTAATGCTGGAAGGGCATAACAAGCGGGGTCCCGCAGGGATCGGTTCTGGGTCTGGTTGTGTTCAGTATCTTCATCAATGATTTAGATAATGGCATAGAGAGTACACTTATAAAGTTTGTGGACAATACCAAGCTGGGAGGGGTTGCAAGTGCTTTGGAAGATAGGATTAATATTCAAAATGATCTGGACAAACTGGAGAAATAGTCTGAAGTAAATAGGATGAAATTCAATAAGGATAAATGCAAAATACTCCATTTAGGAAGGAACAATCAGTTGCACACATACAAAATGGGAAATTACTGCCTAGGAAGGAGTACTGCAGAAAGGGATCTAGGGGTCATAAAGGACCACAAGCTAAATATGAGTCAACAGTGGAACGCTGTTGCAAAAAAAGCAAACATCCTTCTGGGATGTATTTGCAGGAGTATTGTAAGCAAGACACGAGAAGTAATTCTTCCTCTCTACTCTGCACTGATTAGGCCCCAGCTGGAGTATTGTGTCCAGTTCTGGGCACCACATTTCAGGAAGGATGTGGACAAATTGGAGAAAGTCCAGACATGAGCAACAAAAATGATGAAAGGTCTAGAAAACATGACCTATGAGGGAAGATTGAAAAAAGTGGGTTTGTTTAGTCTGGAAAAGAGAAGACAGAGGGGACATGATAACAGTTTTCAAATATGTAAAAGGTTGTTACAAGGAGGAGGAAGAAAAATGTTTTTTCTTAACCTCTGAGGATAGGACAAGAAGCAATGCGTTTAAATTGCAGCAAGGGAGGTTTAGGTTGGACATTAGGAAAAACTTCCTAACTGTCAGGGTGGTTAAGCACTGGAATAAATTGCCTAGGACGGTTGTGGACTCTCCATCATTGGAGATTTTTAAGAGCAGGTTAGACAAACAGCTGTCAGGAATGGTCTAGATAATACTTAGTCCTGTCAGAAGTGCAGGGGTTTGAACTAGATGACCTCTTGAGGTCCCTTCCAGTTCTATGATTCTCACAACATCAGTGACTGTACAGGAAAAAGCAAAAGCTGCTTCTCTTCAGATAATGTGGATATTAGCTAAAAAGAAAAAGCCTTTCCTGGATGCCGAGCTTGTGAAGGAGTGCATGTTGGAAATGCTGGAGATAAAAAACATCGTGACCCATGTGAAGCAAGTTCCCCTGTCTGATTCCACAGCAATGCGAAAATTGGAGGTAATTTATGCAGATTGTTTGTCAGTACTGCTTTCCAGTTTACAAAATGCCAAATACATGTCTCTTGCAGTGAACGAATCAAACGAGATTTTATGATGGTGAAATTTTCAAGGAAGAATGTTTGTGCTTAATAGCATTAAAAACCTATGTCACAGAAAAGGTAATTTTTGAAAAGGTAAAAGGCTTTTTTGAAAAAAAATGGTACAGATCTTCAGAAAGTAAACTGGCTTGTTACAGATGGATGTCCCTCCATGATAGAGAAAGAGAAGGGCTTTGCTTCATGTTTGACATCGATACACCCTTCGTAAAAATACACTTCACAGCATCATTTACTAGACTGTCTTGTGTGGTAAGATGTCTGTGACTTGATTAAAAAAAAGGAATATTGTGATAAGATTAGTGAACTACATATGCTCAACTTCTAGCTTGCAACATCATCCTTTTAAAGCTCTTTTACAAAACGTTATAGCTAATGCTACGATTTAGTCATGGAGGTCACAGAATCCATGACTTCCAGTGACCTCCGTGACTTCAGTCTGCAGTGGTCAGGAGCTGCAGGATACCCCCACCACCTCTGGTGGCTCCCAGAGCTCCAAGCTGCCGTGAGCGGCAAGGGGGTCTCCACAGCACCCGGCTGCCGCATGCGGCAAGGGGAACCCCTAGGCTCCTGGAGCTGTGGGCAGAGGGGGTTCCTGCAGCTCCCGCCTGCCATGGGTGAACCTCCAAGCTCCTGGTGGCCGCGGGCCCCTGAAGCTGTGGGTGGCAGGGGTACCCTGCAGCTCCAGGCCACTGTGGTATTCACCCAAGAGTTCTGAAGGAACTCAAAGGTGAAATTGCTCGACTGCTAACTGTAGTCTGTAATTTATCATTTAAATCAGCTTCTGTAGCAAATGACTGGAGGATAACTAATGTGATGCCAATTTTTAAAAAGGGCTCTAGAGGTGACCCCGGAAATTACAGGCTGGTAAACCTGACTTCAGTACCGGGCAAACTGGTTGAAACTGTAGTAAAGAAAAAAAAATGATCTGACACATAGATGAACATAATTTGTTAGGGAAGAGTCAACATGGTTTTTGTAAAGGGAAATCATGCCTCACCAATCTATTAGAATTCTTTGAGGGAGACAACAAGCATTTGGACAAGGGGGATCCAGTGGATATAGTGTATTTATATTTTCAGAAAGCCGGTCTCTCACCAAAGGCTCTTAAGCAAAATATGCAGTCATGGGATAAGAGGGAAGGTCCTCTCATGAATTGGTGACAGGTTACAAGATAGGAAACAAAGGGTAGGAATAAATGATCAGTTCTCAGAATGGAGAGAGGTAAATAGTGGTGTCCCCCAGGGGTCTGTACTGGGCCCAGTTCTATTCAATATATTCATAAATGATCTGGAAAAAGGGGAAAACAGTGAGGTGGCAAAATTTGCAGATGATACAAAACTACTCAAGATAGTTAAGTCCCAGGCAGACTGTAAAGTGCTACAAAAGGATCTCTCAAAACTGGGTGACTGGGCAACAAAATGGCAGATGAAATTCAGTGTTTATAAATGCAAGGTAATACACATTGGAAAACATAATCCCAACTATATATATAAAATGATGTGGTCTAAATTAGCTGTTACCAATCAAGAAAGAGATCTTGGAGTCATTGTGGATAGTTCTCTGAAAACATCCACTCAATGTGCAGCGGCAGTCAAAAAAGCAAGCAGAATGCTGGTTCAACAAGGACAAGTGCAGAGTCCTGCACTTAGGACGGAAGAATCCAATGCACCGCTACAGACTAGGGACCGAATGGCTAGGCAGCAGTTCTGCAGAAAAGGACCTAGGGGTTACAGTGGACGAGAAGCTGGATATGAGTCAACAGTGTGCCCTTGTTGCCAAGAAGGCCAATGGCATTTTGGGCTGTATAAGTAGGGGCATTGCCAGCAGATCGAGGGAGGTGATCGTTCCCCTCTATTCCACACTGATGAGGCCTCATCTGGAGTACTGTGTCCAGTTTTGGGCCCCACACTACAAGAAGGATGTTGAAAAATTGGAAAGAGTCCAGCAGAGGGCAACAAAAATGATTAGGGGACTGGAACACATGACTTATGAGGAGAGGTTGAGGGAACTGGGGATGTTTAGTCTATGGAAGAGAAGAATGAGGGGGGATTTGATAGCTGCTTTCAACTACCTGAAAGGAGGTTCCAAAGAGGATGGATCTAGACTGTTCTCAGTGGTAGCAGATGACAGAACAAGGAGTAATGGTCTCAAGTTGCAGTGGGGGAGATTTAGGTTGGATATTAGG